CCTGAAGTAGAGGATTTAAGATGAGTTTGCTAGCTCTTCCTAAAGTTTTATTTCAATGGCAACTATGGACAGGGATATCAAAATTGGCAAGGACATAATTACAAAGCCCCTTGATCTTTTGGAGTATGTGCACCAAAAAATGCTAGGCCTTGCATCACAACACTGTATCTGCCACCTTGCCATTTCTGACACTAGCCCTACTCCCACCCCTGTACTACTGTTTATTCCTATTTATTTATCTCAGAGGATCCTTTTTCCTATGTCTTGCAATTTAGCTACTTACCTTAATTTGAATCTTTCCTGCTTTCCCTACAATCATGGATTGCAAATATGTTTTTCATTTCATTTCAGAAATTTGACCTGAGTTTAACACCTGCTTGTTCTTTCTTCAGTCTGGAATTGCAATCTTTGCTTGAAGAAGGTGGTAACTGCATAGTACTTGGCCAGCCTATTCCGTTAGATAGAATGATGGTAAAAAATATTGATTCATTCCATATCACAGGTATGTGATATTATAACTGCTTTGCCAAATATTTTAAAAATTGTACATGTCATATATACAATAGTTTCTTGAGGGCCTGGTCATCTATGTCAGCCCTTTTTAAAATATTTAGAAAATTTAGATAATGAACAGGGATATGAAGCTTTTCAAAAATGCCTAGTTTCGTTGCAAAGCCTCTAAACAATCATTGCATGTATGCAACAACTTTTAAGTAATGAATAGAAATCATACAATGCTGAACTACAGAGTTGTGTACTGTATTATGGATTTGATTTTTAAAGTGTGCTGGGGAAGAAGCCAAAGTGATGAGACAAACCCATAATTTAGCATTGACATTGGTATTCGTTGTTAAATCTAAGCCATTTCATATGAAAATGAACTTTTTGCAAAATAAATCTTATGTTACCTACTTTCAAATAAATCCAATATATCTGAGTTCTTCACTTTCTATGTCCCCAACATATATTTGTATGAAGCTATTATTCACAACTGATAGAGGTTTGATACCCCTATATACAGTGCATTGACTGTAATATGATTATTATATCTCAACATTTGATTAATTAAATACTATTATAGGGATTTCAGTGATACTTACATCATAAGAAATCATATATGTCTAAAACCAGCTTCAACTCTTAAAACTGTAACCTAGTTCTGCCTGGTGTATAGAGACAGATATTTAGGATCAAATATATGACCAGCAGAGAAAAAATGAGGTACTATTATGCCCTTTCCTTAGAATAGCAATAAGTATGAAGATAATTAAAATGGAAATGGAAAAGCTAGCTTTCACATGCAAATTTAGACTTAATACAATCTATTCTATTAATACAATCTATTACATTTGGAGCAGTAACTCAGACAGCTTTGAGATTACATGTCACCACTTATAGAATAACCCTTTTCTTAATATTGATGAAAATGCTAGCTCATATTGATGAAATTACTATCCTCTTCATAGTAATTGAAAGGGATTCCTTTGATGATGAAACAAGAGTATTAGTAGCAGAAGCGACATTACATGGGCTAGAACCAGTTAGGGGGAAATGGGATGTCCAAAGTATGTGTGATATTGTACTTTAATTTCCTTTGTGCTTAGTACTCAACACTGATTTTCATGGATATTTTTGGAAACTTTGTTGTTGCTGCTTTTGTTTTCTTAACACTTAGGACTACTTTTTAGACCGTGTTTACACCGAAACCTGAGCTATCTTTTTTTAGGAATTTACATGATAGGAATAAGAGAGGCGAAACAAAAAATGAGGGAAACCAACATTAGAGAGTACAAATACCCATTGTCTTTGATGACATCAATTTTTATGTGTATATATATATTGCATCCTGGCGTCCTCATCTCTTTCCCCCAATAACAGACTTTTTCTTTTAAGAAAAAGAAATCATTTAAGAGAACTCAATGGATTTAATAACAAAAATTCCAAAAGCGGTCCATGAAATTAATCCAAAAGTCACTCTCACCTATTTCTATATTAAAATAAGTTAGCTGGACATTCTGTTGAAGTTATTCACCAAATAACAGCATCAGTTACATATTCTTGTTATAAATTGAAAGGCAGTTATTCATTGTTTATAGCGATCTGGAATGAAGCTATATAATGTTCCTATATTTCCTTAGCTCTGGGACTACGAAATGCTTTTCTAATACAGCATGAGAATAGATATCAACAGTGCATAGGAGCCTATTTACTTCAAGCACAAACAGAGGTATCCAAGGTAGGCATTTTACTTTGGAAATGTTTTTTGAAAGCATAAAATGGATCCATGCTTATTGGCCTCTTTGATGGATGAGGTGATACTTCTTGCCTTGAAACAGTGCTGGTACTTCTCTCCTTAAGAGATGGACCATAATTGCATCCAACCGTTTTCAATAATTATCATCCAGTCTCCTTTTTTTTTCTGGAAAAGGTTGTTGAGAAAATAGTTGGGTCTGTAGCTGATGGGAACTTTTAAGGAAATACATTATGTAGACCTATTGTAGTCAGGTTTGAGCCATGATTTAGTATTGAGACAGCTTGGGTTGTCCTTGTAGATAACATGCAAAGAAAAGATGGTTAGTGCATCCATGTGCTTCTTGAACTTTCAATGATTTTTGATAATGCTGACCATGATATTCTTCTTCATGCTTCCCTGGGCTACCGTATTCTTCTTCATGCTTCCCTGGGCTATGGATGGTGACATCATTTCTCCTCCTTTTTCTAGAGCCAGCTCCAATCAGTATTGTTTAGGAGGGGTGGGGGAAGTGATCACTCTTTTTCTTTTGTAAGGTGCCAATGTTTTACTGTCCCTTCTTTTTCAAATTCCACATGAAACTGCTAAGTTTAGTACCATCACTACATGGATAATGTATAATTATCTCTCTTGACCCTGGGCTGGCCAAGTTAAGGTTCTGTCCCAATTGAGTCTGTGCCAGTTTGGATGGAGGGGGATTCACTCCTATAAAGACCAATTTGCTCTGAGTACTTGGGCCAGTCAGATCTTAAGTTATTCATCTTTGACTTTGCATGGGATTGTACATTAAGATCTCAATGAGCATGTTGCTACTGTGACCAGAAAGTCCTTTGCACAGCTTCACCTGGCACACCAATTATGATGCCCTAGATCAAGAAGACTGTCAGACAATCATATGCTCAACATTTCATGACTTCAGTATTGTACATTGTACGTGAGGTTGCCCTCAAAGATCACTCAGAAGCTTCAACTGAGCCAGAGAAGAATGGCATGGACAGTGATGACATTGCCTCAGTGTGCCATGTTAACACCTCTGCTTTATAAATTGCACTTGTTGCCTGTTGCTATTCCTATAAACTCATAATTATTTGAGGGACTACCTATCTCCTACAGCATTTGCTCAGCCAATTCAATCTCTCTCTCTCTCTCTCTCTCTCTCTCTCTCTCTCTGTTTTTATTTGTGAGCTACCCAGAGTCATTGGGAGTTAGGTGGCATACAAACTCAATAAATTAATTGTAAAAAATAATTTAAACTGTTTGCATTTTTCTCAGAAAACATGGATATCCCAGATGGAAACAACAATCACCAACTATATAAGAAGAAATAATCTTTCAAAAACATTTTTCAATACACTTGCTGAATCCTCTGAAATTTAACTGTAACTTGTAATATTTCTACTTTTTAATGTTTTTGAATATTTAAAAAATGTTGAAATGTTTCTGAAACCTTTCTGAAATGGGAGTATTCTTCAGTTAGAGCAGAGTTCAGAGGATAACTCATATGAACATATGCAAACATCAATGTTACTATGACCTTTAGTTCACCTGCATTTACTAATAAACATAAATGGGGGGAAAATCGGAATATTAAGTTCCATTAAACTAACATTCACACTTAATTTTTCATCAAACTAACCATAATAGCATTATACCACTTGTCAAAAAGAGCAAAAGCATCCCTAAGTGCATAATATGATCTGCCTAAAAATTACAGTGACAATAAAAAAAACCTGAAGATAATAGTGATGAAGACAAAGTAGAGATGAACTAGTGAGAAAGAAAATATTTATACACAAGGCTAATGTGACTACAAAAACTAAAAAAATCATTGGAATTCATATGGTGTAGATTAATTTAATTGTATTTGTCAATTGTTATAAACTAGACAAAGAAAAATTGGTACCCAGCAGAGATGTCCTGGTAGAACTTTCATCTAGCTGGAAAAACTTGATTCTACTTTTTGAGATTTGTAAATTTAGAGAAAAATTAAATGATCTAAAACAGTGTCAAGTAAAACTCAATTTAATAGCAGAACTATGACCTAAAACCTTCATATAGCTCCAGAAGCCTGGATTCTTCCTTTCTGCACTAGAGATACTTAGGCATAAAGGAGATAGAGCACTTTTTTAAGAGGTTCAATTTTTTTTAATAGAGCTATTAGCAGATGGATTCATAAGATTTTGAAATGTGTGTATCTTGTTTATCATCAGACATTGGAAGAACAGCTCATTTGCTAGGATTCATTTGCAACACCGATGATTGTAAAAGAGAAGTGTGCTGTTATAATGAATTAACAGGGCTTTATGATTGCAAGGTTTTTCTGAAACAACCATGCTAATAGAAAATGGAACAGAAATGCCACAGAATATGAATTATGTGTTAGTAACAAATTTATTAGCATGAGTAAAAAGAATCTGACAGATATTTGACAACCAAGTTAACTGGAATTTCTCAAGTTGAAAATTACTTCAAAGCCACAGATAGAAATAACCTGATATATAATGGCAGTTAATGACTTTTGTTTTATAAATTAAAATGTTTTTATTGAAGAGTTCATCAGATATTATTTATGAGTGAGTGATCTACTAGGCAGCACTTAAGTAACTTTGGCTCATTTTGAGAAGCTAAGCAAGATCCAACCAATCTGTTCTTTTGGATGGAAAACCATTGGGAAATACCAACGTTTAGGGGAGACTAAAATCTAAGGGACTGGTTTGAACAAAACTCAATAGCACTTTTCATGTGGCTATTGATAAAAATAGGATCACCAATGTCTGATGACAGATATGGCACATAAAAAAGGGGAGAAAAGGGGGGCGGGGGAGAGAAAGTCTTGGATGAAGACAATGGGAAATCACTTTTGTATTCAAAATTATTTACAATCCTTGAGGCCATACAAATACAGTATGTCCAAAAAGTTGTTAAGATGAATATGACTCTTTTTAAGGTTGATTGGTAATCCAGCACACATACTATTACTTAAACATGCAAGATCCATTATAAATCATCTATTATGTCTTTTTACTTTTTAAAAATATGATGCATCACTCATTGTGTCCATTCATCCCGCTTAGCAAATAATAAAGGACGCTATGGGATGCTAGTCAAAAAATTAATTGAAATGTTTTGGTGAAAGTGGTACTAAAAATTCATTCATATAACTTGGGCAATAAGACTCTGAACTAATTAACTTCCCTTATTGGCTCTCTAGTTCATAAAACACATCCATTTGGGATATTGGTTCTACAGACTTTTATAGCACTACTAGACAACACATAACCTTGTGGATCATTGTTTCAGAGGTATTTCCTTACTGAAACAAAAGACCAAGGGAAAAAACAGCAGATGAGAAAGTGACTTCCAATTTCCTGACAGCTTGAATACAGCCGACTGCTCTTTGGCAGCTGATGATGGGACTGGTCTACATGATCTGCAGATGTTCTGCTGATGATCTGCTGATGTTCTGAAACTCCATGCAGTACTGAAGTGACCATAAATTTGCCAAATTTCAATCCCAGAGAAGTCAGGGATCCCAAGCTTTGAATGCATTCTGTAAATCATCTGAACTGCAAGATGATAAATAAATAAGTTATCTCAAATAAGTCTGAGGTACCTTAGTTCAAAAATTGTTGCCCTATAATGCATTGTTGCATCTAATTAAAGACTACAAGACACAATAGTTTTAATAATATACAGATTTAAATTTTTATACAAACTATTAAATCCAAAGAACTCAGTGAAAATGATCATCACTTAAAACAGCAATTTTATAATACGGAATAAAGCAGGAAATTCAATCTTGCCACAACCAAAATATGAAATAGTTGAAGCATTCCACTAATATTTGGAGATGAATAGGTTTGACATATACAGCAGATAGCTTGTCATACCAGCACCAAAACAGTCATTGCAAACAGTCTATTAGAAATTTCTAATTTTATTTTCAGCCCAATAATAGAATACAAAAGTAATATTTCCATAAGTATCCACCCATGGGTTTCATACAGAATTAGTGATTGTGTGGTGTCATTTTTCTCACTACTCAGCTTCCATTACTTTCCAAATGCAGAGTTTAGAAATTACAGTGTATACTGAACTAAACTCTTTAACATTATAAGGCACGACTACATGACTACAAGTCATAAACACATCACTCAGACTTAAGAGAATCCACCTGATAAAAATTGCCATGCAAGACTATCTAAAGATAATATGAACGTAAGGATCCACTTGAAAAAGAAGTGCAATCTTATGTAGATAAAGCGACCTTAATACATCTGTAAATTTAAGCACAGAAATTCTTCAAGTCTAATTTATACAATATACAGACCCCACCCCAATAAACATTATGCACAATATTCACATCTGCAACCATAATAAACCAATAGTTAAAAAGAGGCCAATCAGACAATACAATTTGTGGCACACTTCCATTATAGCATAATAATTGCAGTTGTCAATTTCTTGTCATGAGGACTGGAAATCGAGACTAACTTAATGACATGTAAATATTAACAGCAGCCAATGTGACACATACAGCTGATATAGATCGAACATAATTAGGAACAGTTGTATAATTTATTTTTTCTCCAACACCTACAGGTTTGTAGAATTAAAGGAACCTAAAGTATAGATTTATAATAACTGTAAGTCACATAAGCACACATACTGAAATACTACATTTTTGGTGAATCAAAATGTTTTAAAATTTGGCAGTAATCACAAATCAAACCTAACATCATAGTGAGGGAACCATTTAAAAATGGGCTCAAGTGGAGTTTTTTATCAAGAGGTAGTTAAAATGAAATCTTACATAGTGGCATTCTTAGACTGGGCTTTTTGTGTGTGTTTTTAAAATAATTTTATTACAAAAGTGATAAATCCTATACAAGCAGCATTTTGGATAGATTTCTATTACAAAATGTTTCTTTATTAACCTGATGAAACAATATTTTTTTCTTTCTCTTTGGTGCAAAGAGTTTGGATTTAACCACATAGTACAATGTAGGTAGCATGAAAGCTATTCAGATATGCCACAGTAATCAACAACATATACTGTATTTGAAATTTATAAATTCAGAACGCCAATTACAAACTTTATTCATATGAGTTTTAAAGAGATCACAGGAGAAAAACAAATCTCTGCTGAATGGCGTTGCCTACCACACAAACTATTTTTCTCATGACTTTTTTTCTGTGTGCCTGCTATCAAAGGATTACATACTGAGGCGAGCAGTTAATGTTAAATTTGGTCAGATTTATTTATTTTTTAACTTCTAAATGGAACGTAAAATAAACCACTTCTAAGTTTTAAAGAAACAATAAAATACTAACATTTCTATTCGCAAGTAGGGAACTTCCTTTTCTGTTTATTGCTGTGACCTGGAAATAGACCACCTAAATAAATGTTAATGTAATTTAATAAGAAAACAAATGTTTATATAGGAATAATGAAAGCCACTGAGAACATGAAATGTGCAAAATTGCCAAGTCCACTTTTTCTATTCTTAAAATCAAGTAGTGCTGCTAAAGAACATGCAAACTTCTTTAGTATACACTATGTATACTAAACTATGTATCCTCTGGAATACATAAAAATTATGAATATAATATTCCTAAACACCATATGAAATTACCAGGGAATTGAATGAGCACTTAATTAAGAACGTACATTTTTGTAGACCAATTACTGCATCACTTCTTGCAAACATTTGTTCCTTCTCTTGCATATAGTGTTGGTTACACTAAAAAGTGCATAGTGCAAGTGACAATGCTATACCTTGCTCTTCCTGAGTTTTCAATGTTTAAACTATCAGATAAAACCTCATTTCCTTTCTCTGGACAAGCTGAACTTTTATCCATATGTGTGTAAATGTATGTAAAACATCTAGGGACTGGAACAAAAGCAAATTCCCACTTAAATGAGGGGCAAATAGTTTGCTTGTTTTTAATATCCTTTTAAAAATACCTAGAAAAAAATGCAAGTAAGAGATACAACCTTGGAAAAGAATTCCTCTTTATCTTATATATATAGGAAACCATTTCCAAAATGACACTTGCTACGACACATACAAGCATCATCTTTAAAAAATATTACTTCTCCCGGTGAATCAGTTTCTTTATCTGCTAATTTATGAGATGAAGAGTTCCTTATATAACTTCCTTATATCAACTAAGATAAATCAGAAGATAGCCCCAATAAATTTCAGTTCCTACCATGAATACTTCGTATTTTTTCTTTTTCCAAATTAGAGTAAAATAATAATGAATAAAACCACTGGATAGCATCTGAATTGTATTTCTATTGTAGAATCTATGAATAGCTAACGTGGAAGATTTGACTTCTGTACGTTATATTCATATTTGAACATTTTTACCTTATGCCGATTCATAATCTTTAAGACTCTTAATCTATTGATACAAAATTGTATAGTTCACAACTAATTTTTCTCCAGGATTTCAGACAAGAAAAAATGGTATGTAAACCCTAGTACTGGTACCTGTGAATTTATTATTTGGAGATACAAGTAGTAGACATAGAATCTTCTACGTGAAAAGCCCTCTCTTTCAATATATCTTTATTAAATTATTTGTGTTACTTTTTTTCTTACTTCCATATTCATTTCTATGTCTACAGCTACACTCATCTCCCATGCAAACAGATTACAAATCCAAAGAAAAGTTAATTTTAAATATTACCTCATATTTTACTAAACTAGATTTTATCAGCACATTATTTTATATCACCACAGTGTGCATAGTAGTGTATCTACATCCCAATTTCAACTGAAACAAACTTTGTTATCCACCTATTAGTTTTAAAAAAAGTAATTTTAATTAACTTTCAGATGAATAAAATATGACATTACTTTTTAATAACCTCCATGATTAGAGAGAAAACAGGAGAAACTACAAGAGAATTTAAGTTTCTCTTCGATCTTCAGCAGTTCTGAGTTTCTTTCCAAATTTGAAGGACAAAGATTTATAATTAAAATGGGGAACATTTGCCTTGAATGTTCCTCTGCAATTCCTTTAATTGGAGTTGTAAAATAATTAATAATTATCATAACTAAGTATCTTTCAGTACCAGAATTTGCTATGCTTGGATCTTCCAGGCAATATTTCTTATGAGTAAGACAGAGAGAACAGTGCAAACATATTTAAATAGTACAAAAAATATAAGAAGCATAGGAATTTGCATATCAAAGGTGATGTAGCCCAACTATTTTCAACAGAATGCAGCATATTGTTAGAGAAGAAATATCAGATCTACACTATAGTATTGGGATTGCTTTTCATTTTCTGTGACATATTAGTTTCCACTAACTAGACATAATCATAAAAAGGAACTCACAGTAAAAAAAAATTAAGAAAGAAGAGGAAAAAACAATAAACACGAAAAGCTGTTTGTTTGAGGCTATTAATACCTTATACATTTCTGAACAATCATTAAGTTATACTATATGCAGCAATAATTGAAACACAAAATCCCTGCAAAACTGTTTAAAGGGGTTGTTTTTGAACCAACAAAGGAGGATAAAAAAAATACACTGTAACTCCTCTATTTTAATTTTATTTACAAGTCATTGGAGACTTATAAACTTGACACAGAAGCTCTCTGACTAAAACCAAATAAGTCACAGATAATTTCAACTTCACAAGAAGTACAATTGTTTGACTTTAGCAGTTAAACACTATACTATAATTTTGCCAATTGTTACAATCAGTGCCCACCCAAAATAGTAGTCTGAGTATTGTACGAAGTGCATAACAGAAATTTTACTCTAGCATAATATGTAAGAGTTGTGAGTAATTATCCTTGTAGATCATTGAAACAAGTATCACAGACACGAACAGGTTTCTTAGAAGAAGGAGTTAAGGCATTCTTTGAGGAACACTCAGCACAGAAAATATTTCCACACTGTCTGCAGTGGTGCTGAAAAAAAGAAAAGAAAAGAAAAGTTATGAACACATGGCATATATAAACTCAAACTCTATGTAGCTTGGTGTTATGTTACTCCATTACTTAACTGTTTAGACTTGGCTCACACATCACTGCTAAAATATGAGCTAGTGTATATTATTTATTAAATTTATATGCCACCCATCGCATGAATCATGCTTTGTTAAGCCTCAATGACTATATTCAAAAAACGCATTAGGCCAAAATTAGTTAAATCACATCACATTAAGGCCTGAATGCCTGCTTTTCAAATCAGGACTAAACATCAAGCATAAAACCATGCATGGATATTTTTGATGCAACAATTAGCTTTGGTTTAGGATAAATACTGTAATTTTCACACTATAAGATGCACTCCCCCCCCCCAAAAAAAAACAGTGGGTGGAAATGTCTGTGCATCTTATAGAGCGAATGTTGTTGAAGCCCCGCCCACCTGCCAGCAACCAACCCTCCACCTCTGCCTCCCAGCAATCTGCCTCCTTGCAGCAAACAGCAAACAGCCTGGTCATCTTCAGCACAGCCTGATTTAGCACTAGCAGCTGATTGGCAGTTGGAGCTGCGTCTTGGAATACCACCAATCAGCTGTTCCAAGCTGCAGGGATCGCCGCTGCCCATCGCCGCCAATCACTGCTGTGCGCCCCATTTTCAGCCTCCATGTGCCCCATTTTTGGCTTCCATGCATCCCATTTTGAACCTCTGTACACCCCATTTTTAGCCTCCGTGCATCCCATTTTCAGCCAAAAATGGATGTGTGGAGGCTGAAAATAGGGCACATGGAGACCGAAAATGGGGCATGCAGAGGAGGCAGTAGTCATTGGCAGCAATGGGTGGAGGCGATCCTCACAGCCTGGAACAGCTGCTCGGTGGTATTCTGGGAGGGTGATCCGACCACCAATCAGCTGCTCGTGCTAAATCAGGCTGTGCAAGATGACCAGGCTGTTTGCTGTTTTCTGCAAGGAGGCAAATTGCTGGGAGGCAGAGGCAGATTTTTATTTCTTGTTTTCCTCCCCCAAAACTAGGAGCTTCTTATGGTCTGGAGCATCTTATAGTGCAAAAAATATGGTAATAATTGAATATAGTTAGCAAGGAAAGTCAAGGTTAGCATGCAAGTCTAAACTTGCTAACCATGGTTTAATACTGCACAACCCAATCTACAATATTTTAAGACTAGTGGAACAGCTTAAATAACCAAGTATGTACACTATTTTTAGAAGTACATGTCTCCTCACTCAGAGACCATATTCCACTCCAATGACTTGGTCATTAAACAAAAAGGTTGCTAAGGGAACATGTGAGAGAGCAAAAGAGCTGCTATGAAGATCACTTATTGCTACTGTGTCATTCAGATTCATCCTCTGCCTTTTTTTTAACCCCTTCACAAGGTGAAGAGATTGCTTAAACAAACTATCTCTTCCTAACCTGCTTTTTTCAGCAGTGCAGCAATTCCCTAAAAGTAAGTGCAAGTGACAATTCTGTAATCTTAATGAGTGGATTAGAACCCTCCCACCACTACTGCTTGAAACTGACCAGATCTTAAATCAGTTTTATACCAAGGGTTTTGCTATCAGGCATACAAAATTTGATCATAAATGCACACATTGCTGAGAAAATGATTTTTATTACCATTTATTACCATTATATTTGAGAATGATCACTAACCTAATCAGTCACAAAAAGAGAAGTGGCTGTATTGCATGGGATAAATTTAAAACATAACAGTCGTATATCCCGGGTTTTCTACTAAAATGTATTTCTTCTTTAGGATGAAACTGGACTGCATAAGTTATCTATATACACAATATTGTTGTATATTTCAGTGAACAGATATAGTTCAAAAACAACCAAGTAACAGACCTATATTTAAAGTTTAACCAGACAGTAATAAGAAATATTTTATCTTTCCTATGTAGCACTGGAAGTAGCAAAAGTTTCTGAAAAAAATCTTATTCTAATTTTGTTAGGATACATATGAAATATGTTTAAAATGTTTGTATTTTCATAAAATGTTCCTATTTCCAAGATCACAATCATCAATTTCCAGTTATGTTACATGCAGTGGATATTAACAAGAGAGAAATATCACTATCCAGGCTAAGCAGGTGCTATCATCAAGTTTAAATGAAAGCAAGTGAAAACTTGGCATTGTTAGCAAACCTCTCACATCACTGTGTCCAAAAGAAAATATGTATAGTATTTTGAATAAATCTGTCCCATACCATCCACGAAAAAGGATTTGAGATTATTTTTTAATTTAACTTTATTGACACATATCATTTCACTTTATGAAAATAACCTTCATGATCTATCCCCATACATACATACCCTTCTGATTGTTACAGAAAAACTTTTTCCACAAGCCATGCAATTCTGAACTTCATTGTCTTCAGCCCATTTCCTATTTAATGCTTGTGTATGTTTGATCTATGCAAAATTTAAGAAAAGATATCGTGTAAATATTAAATCAAAACTTCAAATTATATGAAAACTATATAATCAAAATTTCCCCCTGCCAGTGCATATGCTCAAAGTATTCTATATCCAAGGCCAATTATTGTTAGACCAGTAGAAGCCAACTCAACCAGATCATGATATCTTGTTCGGGAATGTTGCTTACTTACTTATCTATGTTGCTTACTTACTTATCTATGCAATTTGAACAATAATAAAAACATTAAGTTGCCAATTATTATCTTTCAGCATAAAATGAAATACCTGCAGTGACTGGTTCTCTCTCCCCAGCTCCTGCATGGCTGCAGTTGTATCATCCAATTTTCTTCGTGCATCCATGACTTTGCTTTGAAGCTTTTCAATTTCTCCTTCGCTTTTAAGGCACCTGTGAAGAGATGTAAATGTGAATAATCTTTTAAACACTGAAGGAGGCGAAAGCATATTCATAAATTGGCAATAAGATCATCCTGACAATTATATCATGAATAAATAAATAGCATTAAGCTGTTCTAAGAACACTGTCCCATTTGTTAATTGTAATTATACAAAAATGGTTGACTGTAGCAAAAAATGCAGAAATTTCCGCAGAGATGAAATATTTCAACACAGTCTCAGGTATCTATCATCTAATCTCTTTATGATGAAACAAATGCAGAGGTGGAATGCAGTAAACAAAAAAAATCATTTGATATCCTTTCTATTAATAAGAAATAGCAACAGCACTTATACATATACCACTCCATAGTGCTTTACAGCACTCTCTGAGCGATTTAAAAATGTCAGCATGTTGCCCACAACCTCTGGGTCCTCATTTTACTGACCTCAAAAAGATGGAAGACTATATCAACCTTGAACCCATCAGGATAGAACTCCTGGCTTTGGGCAGAGTTAGCCTGCAGTACTGCACTCTAACTTCTGCGCCATGACTTTTATCAGTCTAAATATTTTGCAAGTTGAAGTAATACTATAGTATATTAGCAGCCTGTCAATTTAAACCATCAATTTCTCTATTATCAATCTTGATATTCATAATATCCTTTTATTACCACTATTCTATGGAAAACTGTTTCAACTTGGCCCTACCAACCAAAGCAGAAAAATAATGCACATTTTGATTAACAAGAGACCATTAAAATTTTCAGAGTATGTTAGCATTTTGCTATTCAAAGTCAAGCAGAATTTTGTAACAAATATAATTACACCAACAGATAAAAGTCATCACATGCAATATAGAAAGTTTAGAATTTCACACAATCATCAAGCTCACCCTGGGATTATGAATTTTAGTTATTATTTAGCTGTTACTGCTTTGCTTAATAGGAATCCAGTTTTTTTTAAAAAAAGAGAAGTAGAAAAAAACTCCCAAATTACACAAAGTTCAACTTATAATAAAGAATGGAAAGAATATCTTTCCTAATTTAATGTAAACCCCTTTAAAACGTATTTAGCAACTTACCTTTCCAGCAACACTCTCCTCTCATCCTGATTGTTCTGGACAGTGGCTTCCAGAACTGCAATTTCTCCACGCAGATCATCTATTTGTTTTTCTAGTTCACTAGCCCTTCTTTGGCTGCTTTGCCACTCTTTCTTCACTGTCCCTAGATTTTCATTCAGTGCTGTGATCTGCATATTGAGCTTACACTCAGATTCTTCGTGACTTTTACACTGCTCATCTTTTTTCTTGATCAAAGCTTGCTAAAACAAGAGAAACATTTCAATATAACAATCCTCTTTCCAACACCTCAAATGCCTGCTCAGGTATCATTCTAGAAAGAAAGTAACATTTTTAAAGAAAAGCCTAAAAATGCATGTTCTTTTCTGTGGAGAAAAATGGATTAGTAGGGAAAACACTGGCTTGGAACCTCAGTTGCCAAACAGAAGAGATTTCGTCCAACAAAGATATTTAGTAGCTGAAGATAAAAAAATTGATTTGATTGCTTTTCCTCTAACTAACTAACTTGTAGCTAACATTACCCACAATGTTTCAGAGAGTTTTCAAACTGGGGAGCAGGGCTTTTTTAAAGGCCAATACACTATGGAAAAAATAATTAATCAAGGAAATTACAGGAGAATCTTAGTTTTTTCTTAGAATTCATTATTGCTTCAATTCGTGCACAATTAATCAGTATCGCAATGAAATGAACTTTGTAGCAGAAATAGTGTTTTAAACCAAGTGCTCCCTAGAAAATCCTACCCAAATTTATTTTTGAATCCACAACACATCAAGGATTTCATGCACTTAAATCAAAGTATCTATAAAGTACTGATTGTACATATTTTGATTAAAATGAATGTGAATAAAACAGAATAGTGTATTCCATAAGCAATTTTGCCTTTTACTCATTGCCTGTAATATAAAGTTTTTTTTAAAAACGGAATATTGGAATCTCCCCATTTATAATAAAATTAAGTATTATGACTCTGCAAATCATTCCACAAATTACTTGACTCATTATGGAAATACACCTCTGGATTTGTTTCTAAAACATACTGACCAGTTTTGCTTCTATCTCAACACATTTCTTCTTCAATTCCCCTTCTTTCTTCTTCCACTGATCTTTCATGACTTCCTGGTTTTTCTTCTCTTGCTCCATAGCTGTACTAAAATTATCAACCTTTTCCTGTAATTCTAGTTTCTGTTTAATCAACAGCTGTTTGGCATCTTTTTGATTTGAGATCTCCTATTAAAATAAAGCAAAAGTAATTCAATTAAGCTAATATATGAGTGAGTTATATTATGTTAATGAAGAATACTTGAAAATATAAGGCCTTTGCAAATGTTCTTCTTTGCACTTCTCTGCAGCTATTCCTAGATTATGAGGTCCTGCTTGAAGTTATTCATCTCTCCGTTGGATATTGCAATGCACTCTATACTCTATGCTGCCTTTGAAGATCAATTAGAAAATCAATTGAAAGCTAAAGCTGTGCCGAAAGATCAGCATTAGATTATAAGTTACAATGGCTTCTTATAGTCTTTCAAGAGGCTGGTTATCACACACACACACACACACACACACACACGCACTAGATAGCACAGGACTGAGTTACTGGCAGAAATGCATTTTTCAAGGGTGGCCATGCCACTGGTTTTCTCCATGAAACAATGTCACCTTTTGAAATCAGGCAGTGTGCCTTTTCTGTTGTGGTGCCTACCTTCTGAAATGATCTATTCCCTTTTTCCCATGGCATACAGTTGGCTTGGCCCTTGAAAGAGGGAGTGAAAACGCTAAAAAAAACACTTAGGTTTTGTGGTCCATATGATTAGAGCTCCAGTTTGGAAGAGTGTAATGAACATAATTCCCAATTGCCAGTTAATTGTTAATATTTACTTTTAGTTGGTGTTGCTTATTTTGTTTTTGTTATCTTTTTACTGGTTTGTTATGCTACTCTTAGTCAAATGGTTTTGAGTAGGGCAGCCTATAAATAAACAAATGAAAAGCAACTAAGAAATTTGTAAACTTAGGCAGGAAAGAATTCATCAGAGCTGAAAAAATACTTAGCAAAACAGAAGGTTAAAAAAATTCACCTCAAAGCCAAGATCAGACCTCAGTGCATTTCAACTGCCTTATAGCACAATTCTGGAACAATGTTAATTCACATTTTCCAAAGTCTTATACAATATAATCCTGATAAACTTGAGATGTTTTTGACTTTACATACCTTCTCAAACTCTTGTTTGCAGAGTCTAATTTCATCCCTTAGTTTCACATTTTCTTCTTCCTGTTTGCAATTTATGTTATAGAGTTCTGAGGTTTTTGATTTTTCATTAAACAAATCTTTTTCTTTTAAATCCTTCAGAAAAAGTAAACAAATATATTTAAAATATACCTTTCTTGATAGATATGCATATTTACTCAAAAAGGTGTTAATACTTTCAATGACCATCATTCTTTCAAATAAAGTCCATGGATAACTGAATGTATATTTTTCACTAATCCCAATGTTATCTCTTCGTTTATTTTTTTAAACGAGACTCTATACTTACTCTTCCGAGAGGTAAACATTATTATTTCATATAGTATTGATAAACTTAGTTATTTATGTTGTATAATTTATTGAATTAAATTTCAAAGATACTATGTTACTATTTGAATTAAATCTCTTGACTCAAAGAAAGGTAATTATGCAATTGATACAACTGGTGGCTGGAAACGCTTGCTGAATTAATGCTAAGTATTACCTTCGTAGTATATCTGTATGACTTTTATACTTATCATTTGTTCCATTATTTTCTCTTATTGGTATCATCTTTATGATTATTATTACTTTGTTGTTTTATATGTACATTAAGAGTTTATGCACCAGAGACAAATTCCTTGTGAATTTAATCACACTTGGCCAATAAAGTATTCTATTCTTAATAGCCAAGAAAATCATCTTTCAAGGTACAATTAATACGAGTACTCTATATTACATGAATATCAGTTAGTATTGTAACATGACCACTCTTTCCAACTTTAACAAGCAAAGGAAAGATAATTTTTCTATTTATACTGTAAAAATAGATACATGTACTATCCTGTTCATACAATATATAGTTCAAAGGATTAAAAAATACATTACCTTATCTTTCTGTATTTCCTGTAACAACTTCTCTTGTTCTTTCAGTTGCTGTTCTTTTTTGGACACATCCTGTTCCAGTGTAGATCTTATAGTCTTAAGTTCTTTGATCAATTGGTTATGATTACTAATTTGATTTCTATTAGAAATCAATTCTTCTTGAGCCAAAGCTAGCTTCTCTTCTGTAACCTAAATTGAAAGCAAAGAATCACTCCTAACACTCCAGAGCTCTTCATGAGTTACAATTGACAATGTTCTTTTGGGTGAAAACTGAATAAATCATCTATATCAGGGGTGTCAAACTCAAGGCCCATGGGACAGATGTGGCCCACGGGGTGTTTAGATCTGGCCCACAGGGCCCCCTGGAAACAGCAAAGGGATGGCGTGCAGTGACTCTGCTAGTGAAAATGGGGCTTGGGAGGGCCACGCACAACCCTCTCAGGCTCCATTTTCAGCCGTGACAGCCTCCTGCAGCCTTCTGCCAGAGAAAACGGGACCCAGGTCCCGTTTTCAGGGTCCATTTTCGCTGGCAGAGGGCTAGCAAAACAAAACAAAAGGAGAAATGTTTCCCCTTTTGCATTTGAGCATCCAAGAGGGGTAGGAAAAGAGAAAGGGAAAGAGGAAAGAAAAAGAAAAAAAAGGAAGAGAGCAAGGAAGGATAGGAGGAAGAAGGAAGGAGAAGGGAGAGAGGGTATTATGAGGGAGGGAGGGTCTAAGGGAAGTCCTGCCTTAGCACATGGCCACCACAGGTGCCCCCCGATATGAATGATGTTGAACTGGCCACGCCCACCATGGCCACGTCTACCTCGGGGTCCCCAAGGTCAAATATAGCCCTGATGTGGCCCTCAATCAAATCAAGTTTGACATCCCTGATCTATATGAATTATAGTAAATGTTTGCTAGCAAAATATCACAAGAATATCTCACTTCAGCTACAAAAATGATCTACAAAAATACAACTACAAGTAATAGGGAAAAAATGCTGTATTAATAGTGTTTTTTTTTTAATTCAATCACTTTAGACTTTTGACAACCCTCCCTGCAGTCACAGGTTCCTAGGCCATCTGCCATCAGTAAAATACAATGAAATTCTTGAAAATGGAGCTAGTTTGGAGTAGTGATTAAGGCCTAAAACCCAGGAGATTGTTAAGATCTAGTCCCACCTTAGACATAAAAAACCGTCAGGGGGCCACTCACTCTTTCTCAATCCAATTCTTTATCATTCCGATCAGTGAAATTGAATTATGGGTTATGCAATAAATTATTCTTGTATTAATCCACCATGTACAGCAAACAGCAAATATAGTTTCTCAGCATACTTCTCTTCTATACTAGGCATTTCCAACCCAGGGCCCATGAGCCGCATACAGCTAGCAATGCAGCCTCACAAAATCATAAATGTTTAACATTATGATGTGATTTATATTCATTAAATATATATTTTATATGCAGCCCATGACAATTCCTCTTCACTCAATGAAGCCCGGGTAAGCGATAAGACAGTGATGGGAAAACTGATGCAGGATGAGAGTTTATAACTGAGATAAGGTAAAATATGTCAAGAGCTGTAAGGACCAAAAGACATTGCCCCAACAATTTAATTTCTACCAGATAATTATTTTACATAACAAACAATAATTTAATAAAGGTTTTAAATTACATTTAACTACTAATCCAGACACTTTATACATGCTATATGGAAGAAAGAAGCTACAAACGAATGATACCCTATTGCTACTTGCTAAACTTTTTAATTAGTTCCTTTAATGATTAAATGTATATTGTCTTGTACTAGAAATTCCAAGCTTTCTTCGATAATTTTTTTAACTACATTACAGCTTTACTAGGAAAGTAATGGAAAAGCATGTATCAAATTGTTATTTGCACCTATCTTCCAGCAGATGGTGTCATTACTGCCATACTGTTGATCTTACAATTCTAAGTTTGTTATTTTTTACATTACTCCTTCTATTCAATGGATACTTCATCACAATATAATCTTGGCTGTGGGTGGTATACATCTTGCTATGTCAATGTCTTGGATCAATTAATGCCTCATAAACTATCACTAGCACTCATTTAAAAAAAAACACTTTATATAGTAATTCCAATCCTCCAAGATATATTTCATCTTAATCGTTTATTTTAAAGTTATATTACCCATGTACTGCTTTTTCTAGGTAAGCATGACTATAAGTAGTCATGGCGAGTTGGCCATAACAGTGAGTTGGCCATAGTAAGTTAACTGAGATGAGCCATTTCGAAGCTAAAATATCTTAATGAGGACTGAACATTTTGATTACAGAAAAAAAAATAGAAAACTGGGACAACGGAAAATAAAATAGCCTACATGGAGCTACAGCTGACTAGGAAAAAATGAAGTACAGGGATTTAGGACAAGTTACAAGGATTCTTCTTTAAAATTTGTTGTTTCAACTATTTACTTGAGCCCTAACTAAAATTGTCTTTTAACTTACATAATGCATACACTGAGGGAAACGTGCAGACTCAAAACATATTCATATACCTTAAGGTCTTGCCGGATAGCCAAGTTTTCAGATTCTTTACCATAAATATCTAGTTGAAGTTTTTCCATGTTTTCTTGAGCTTTTTTATGGGATTTCTGCAGGTCTGTTATTTTTTCCTTCTTTACAGCAAGGATTTGTTCTGATAATGTTATTTGCTGCTGCAATTTATTTTCCAGTTCTGCCTAATACATACACGCACAAGATATATTTCTTATACACAGGAAGGTAATTGAGAAAACAGATAATAAGGACATATATAAAGACAGTTGCACATAAAAGTGTGGGAAGTCCTGACCAAATTGTATCATCTAATGAATCTTTAGGTGAACAAAAGCAGACACAAACTTTACATGCTAGAAAGCTAAACATGGCTTTTGTCTAATTTGACTGCAAATTAGAATGAACATTTACTATTTACATTCAAATACCAAAGAGAAAAGTCAAAATCTATTTTGTTATAATTCCAGTGTAAAATAATAGTAAAAAGTAGGTGTAAAGAATGCTAAAGTTTCTATAATTTACTAGTATTTCATTTAAATTCATATTTGTCACTGAGCACGAATTATTTTTCAAGTATAACACAGTAAAAATGTAAACAGACCTCCCACAGGCTATCTTGCTCTGAAGAATTATTCCATATGCCTATGATACATGGAGGGAGAAATGCCTCCACAGATCATGCTGTTGATATGATGCCACAGCATCAGCCAAATATTATTTGTTATTATGAAGCAACAAAATATCTTGCATCAGACATAGTATATAGCGTATAATATAATGTTACCGAGAATGTACCTTTTCTAATAGGGCTGTTTTTAATTCAGCTTGTTGTGTCTCATTTTGTTTTTTCTTCTGGTCGAAAGATTCCTTCAGTTCTTTTACCTTCAATTGGAGCTGTTGTTCATTTTTTTCTTTTTCTTTGAGAACACCCTGAAGCTGCAGGACTTGTACACGTGCCAAATCAAGCTCTGTTGCTAGCTGTTTGGATATCTAAATATTGAAATGTAGTATTACTTCAATACCATTGCTATTGTGGCAATTATTATGTTTTGATAGAAAATTTCCTTTTTTTTCCTCACGTTACTACTTCATTTTTCTTAATACTAAGTACATATTTTTCAAAAATCCAATTATAATGAAACTCCAGATCTCTATATCTAAAAGGGAAATACCACTCACGCATCATCACAAAATCTCCAGAACCGTAAAGCCTAAAACTTGAAATTTGGCACTTATGTTCCTCTTGGCTTTTAGGTGCTCATTAAGAAAGGATTTTTCAAATTGACCACCAGAGCATTAGTATTTCATATATTATTATTAACACGCTCTGATGCTAAGGAGTTCTACTCCCCCTCCCCACCAAAAAAGAAATCTGTTCCAACTACAAAACACAAGCAGAAGAGAGGAGTTTCAGTTTCAGTTTTACTTTCACAGCAGCAAGCATCTTTAGTACAGAACAGTTGAGCTAAGCCATGCCCAGGCTTCTTGCTGTCTCCTTCTTGCTCACACAGCAAATACTATTTCATTTTCCAAACAGGACCCTAGTCAGATGAATACCAATGGATGCTGGTAGGCAGAGGCAGAATTTTTTTTCCCTCATTTTCCTCCCCAAAAGCTAAGCCCGCCCACATAATTTTATAGAAAAAGCATGGGTATCGAGCTAGTATTTCATATACACATAACAAATAATTTAATCCCACAGCAATAATTCATAATTCATTTGAGAAAAATCTGTATATATAGTTCTTCTTTCCACAGAGGTTTGAGTTTAGCAATGCTGCAGGTAGTCCTGGACTTACAACAGTTCATTTCATGACTGTTTGCAGTGATTCATGAAAAATATTAAAATCATTTTTCACACTTCACGTGATCAAAATTCAAATGCATGGCAACTGGCTCAAAGTTAGGAGGGTTACAGTGTCCCAGGGTCACCTTTTGTGACCTTCTGACAAGCAAAGTCAATGAGGAAGCCAGATTCACTTAATAACAGTGTTACTAACTTAATGACTGCAATGATTCACATAACAACTGTGGCCACAAAGGTTGTAAAATGGAGCAAAACTTACTTAACAAATGTCTCGCTTAGCAACAGAAATTTTGGGTCAATTGTGGTCATAAGTTGAGGACTACCTGTATCTGAATTCCATAGGAGTCATGCTTATGGTTAACAATTAACATTACCCCATCTTGTTTTTCCAGTAAGTTTTTCAGTTCATTCTGTTCTTTAGCTATAGATTCCGACTGTAACTGAAGTTGATGTCTAGCTTCTTGACAAGATTTTTCCTGTATAAAAAACAATATTTAATAAGAATTTTCTGTTAAATTACTAAAATACATTACAAATACTATTAATAAACTCTAACATCCTTTCAAATTAGTTTCAAAAACTCACACCCCAGTTGAAACCACATGTAATAAATACAAGTTGTAATAACTGTGATTTGGCAAGCAAAACCTATGAGAGAGTGGAGCAAAAGTTGTTAGGTAAAGAACATGATGTTTTAGCGAGCAATAGTAACATTTTCTTTTCCAAATAGGCTATGAATTTAGGTCCCAAGATACATGTATACTGTAGTAAGCAAAATGGTCAATTAAATATTTGTCCAGTACTTTCCATAGTCAATGCCATCACTAAGATAGTGCTCTGAATTTTTACTGGTAGCCTGCAAACTGCATATGTATATTGGTTACATAGAAAATAATTTTATTTAAAAGTCAGGACTCACCATTTCTGCTACAGCTGTGTTTCCTCTCTGTTTCTCTTTCTCCAATGCATTCTTTGCTTCTTCCAAAGATTTGTTGCTATTTGAGAGTTTACCTTTGAGGATCTCGAGTTCTTTTAATAGAGTATCTTTTTCCAGCTTCATTTTCTCCAAATCATCTGTTAATGTTTGCAACTTTCCATCTAATTCCCTGTGATACTTCAATTTATCTTGATTTAATTTCTCAATTTCTAACTTCAGTTTTTCATTTTCTTCTTCCTGCTTTAATCTTTGTTGGCTTACTTCTTCTAATGTATCATTTTTTTTCTGCAAGTCTAATTTGGTTCTAGATAGCCTATATAAATACAACATATAAAAATGAAATTATTTCAATTTCAAAATTACATGATTGAGCATTAACTTTTATATAAAACTTTTCAAATATTCAATGAACTTCCTACACTTTGCTCAGTAAAATTAATGCCACTATTTCAGTATTGTTACTGAATATTGAATATTATTACTGGAGCTACCCAGAGTCACCCTGTAGGGGAGATGAGCAGCATAAAAATGTAGTAAAATAAAAAAATAATTATATACTAACAAAGCAAAAATCATTTTTATTTATTTAAAATATGTATATAGCCAAATATGTATAATACCATGCAAATTTAAACAAAATGTATAATTCAAAATAACGTTTGTTAATTTCAACTCCAAGGCAATAGAGTACAAAAGAAAAAAAAGATGCTAGAAAATTAGAAACTGACAACTTTTAAAATGTGGATACAGCCAGGGGTGGGATTCAAATTTCTTAATAAACGGTTCTGTGGTTGTGGCCTAATTTGTGGGTGTGGCTTGGTGGTCATGTGACTGGCTGGGCATGGCTTGTATGTAAATATTAGAAATATTTATGTAAATATTGAATTTTTTATTTAAAAAGAGCAACTTTTACCCAAAAGCAGGCAAAGCAGGCAGGCAGATTGAGTTGCTCACGGAATCACAGATTCATTCAGAGATCTATCTTTCTGCAATTGGCTACATGAGTCTGTCTCATAAAATTTGCTAGCAAGCAAACTCATAAAATAAAGTCACAATACATCATGTATGTAAATATTGATTTTTTTACTAAAAAAGAGCAACTTTTACCCAAAATCAGGCAAGCAGACTGAATTGCTCACGGAATCACAGATTCACTTAGAGATCTGTGTTTCTGCCATCTGCTACCTGAGTCTGCACTGAATAATAGACGCTTCTGGCTCAGCTCTGCTTTTAGATTAGCTAGAAATCAAGAAATCCAACGATTTCCTGCTTTCTAGCTAATCTAAATCTACCAGCACAGCAGAACAGCTGATGGTCAGGGGAAAAGAAAAAGAAAAATAGCAACTTAGCAGGCAAGTTTGATGGCACGCGTGCTAGGTAAGGAGTGGGCAGGGTGGGGCCAGCCAGTGGTGCGATTTGCCAGTTCTCCGGCAGGTAGAATCCCACCTTTGGTGAGAGTGCATTTTGCATGCATGTGTAGACCATTTCCTAAAAACCTCAGCTGTGGAGCCCGGACAGCTGACAAGCGCTACACAACAGTATGCAGCGTTTGAAAATCCTCTTCTTTCCTGCTTTTTCAACCTCAGCTGTGCCGTGCAAAGCAGTTGAGGTTGAAAAAAAAGAAAATAAAGGATAGCTAAGAGCCTGGGCGGGTGGGTAGGCCAAACAGAGCAGCAGACACCGAACTGGTTATGTGTCTGCTGTTCTTCAGAGCTACCGGTTCTATAGAACCAGGCTGAACTGGTAGCATCCCATCCTTGGATACAGCTAAAAGTGGCACATTCAAATAATTTAACATACATTTCTCTCTCTTCCTCTAGTTGTTTGCTCAGATCTGCAGCTTTGAGGTTCAACTCTGTGCACTGTTTTCTTTGCTGCTCTAGTTCTTGAAGAGCCTTTTCTTTTTGTCCCAAAACTTCAAAAAGATCAGTTTCAAGTTTCTGTAATGATAATTTTTAGAAAGCAAATAATTACAACAAAATGATAATGATATAATGACAACAGAAAGGTGATTACCTTAACCCTCTGTGGATTTATTTATCTTCTCTCAACAAATATGAATATGGACTGTCAAAACATTTTGTACTGCATGGGTCAAACTGGCCTCACTAGAGTCTAACAAATGGCATTATTAATGGCATCACACAAATATCATTTAAATGTATGTACAAATTTCCAAGTGAAGCCATCTTTGTCTTTCTTCCACTTTAATTTTTTCTGTCAAAGTTGTTGCTGAGAGTTTTTTGCTATTTCAAATCTCATTATTTAATTGCTGTTCCAATGTATTAACTTCAATGTCTGTAAAAACTTTTTTCCTGATTGTAAAGTTTCTCTGAGTATGAAGTTAATCAATGTCTGATTGAGTATAGAAATCTTTTTTCTAGTTTTCTTCACCAACTAATACAGTAGTAATAGTAGTAGCCGTTATTACTATGGTTAACAATTAAACACATTTTCCCTATCATTAGCAACAGAAATTTTTAAAACTGAAAACTAGTAAAGAACAATTTAAACTGCTTTGGTAAAGGGATCAGAAGCAAATATTCTCCCTTTTGGTTCCTACTGTTTTGAGTTTGATTATCCAGGCAGACAAAAACAAATATAGTCTTTTGTTGATCAGTCGACTGTTAGAAATATGACCTCCACAAATCCTGTTGACAGAGTCTACCTGATGAACAAATCAACCCCAGTATAGAAGAGGCGACGAAAATAGAAAATACAGAAGAACAGGCACAAATATGCCATTTTTTCCAGACTCCATGACCTTCTCGTATATTAACACAGGCCTTAGCTCTTCAATTTGGTCCTTTATGAACTGAATAGCTATAGAACTAAAAGAATACACAAGTGCTACATCTTCTTAGTTTGTTACTGATTTGAACAGAATAATTAAATGTTTCCTCAATACTACAACATTCATTAGAAGATAACAATACTCAAGGCTGAATTAGCATAGGAAACAAAGAAAGGAATAACTTAGGGAAACTATTTTCCCTTGCAGACAGACGAAGAAAAAAATCTCTCTCTAAAAATAGCAAAATTCTGCTTCATTATGTGCAAACTTCACCTACAGTACCAATGGTTGCCAACAGTCAATATTGGATTAATTTTTCTTTGTTTGTTTTAGTATATGTATTTTTACTTCTCAATGACTAAAATACATAATTGTCTTTTTTTTCTAGTCTTTATTTTGACAATACTTGTCATCTTTCTTCTCCTATACCGTTTTAGGTTTTCCATTTCCTCCTAATTTCTATTTTTCATGGCATTCTTGCCATTCTGTTGTTTCTACAGTGTAGTTGAAACAAGGAGGTAAAAATCTCTCAAAGTTGTGCAAGGTTCATATCGTAGGCAGTGAGGATTTAGGTGATTAGAATTTTTTCTATGGAGAAAGTTAGGCAGAGAAGCATCGATTTTTATAATTCTAAAAAATTGTGTTGCTCATTATTCAAAATGGAAAATGGCATACAAAACAGAAACAAGCAGAGGGTAGTAAAAATTCTCTATGACTTCTATGATCCAAAGATTTCGGCTATGGACCAAAAAACATAACTGGTGCTTTTGTGTTATAGCAAGGATAAGAAAAAATATGAATCTTTATCTTTCTTTCACACTTTCCACAGTTAAACATGACTTGAGTGACCTTAAGATTTTCCTACCTGCTTTTATGTGAAATCAGTTTCTGTTTGAGTTGCTCATTTCATATTTAATAATGACTATACTTTGCATCAGCTGTTCTACCCTTCTCATCACCTCTCCATATCAGCATCAGCCACAATTGGAAATATGAACTAAAAATAAATAAATAAATAAATACAAACCTTATGTTGACCTTCCAGCTCTTCTGTTTTTTGCTCTAAATTAAGGTGTTTTTCTTTGAACTCTTTAAGACTGGATTCCAACTGTATACAATATTCTTCTTTGTCATGCAGCTTGGAAGCAACTTGATCCAATTGAGTACAGACTTTTGTTAGTTCCTATTAGGAATAATTTTTAAAAATCATTTTTAGAAATCTAGTATAATAACATTAGTTTAAGTATGAAAGAAACACTTTTTATCTGAAAACATCCAGTATATAAAACAAAAATAATAACATTAGTTTAAGTATGAAAGAAACACTTTTTATCTGAAAACATCCAGTATATAAAACAAAAATTACTATGGCTCATCACATAGCCAGCCAAAAGTTTAGAGTACTTCTTTATAATTGACTACTTGGTTATTTTATTATACACTGCCCAGTCACATATATGAAATGGGCAGCTATATAAAATAAATAAATATTCTCCATCAGTGCAGTAAACTACAACATTTACAACAAAGGCAACATATTTTTTATGAATATCACCGTACTTAAAACAATGAGTAAAATGTGATGGGTATAATTTAGACATGCACTGTGTCAATACTATAAGTCTGTCCTGATCTTCCTTCTAAACATAAAGAATTCTCAGCCAGTAAGATCATACATAGCTGAGAATTCTGGAGTTGAAATTCACATATCTGGGAAGGACACGTGTTGGATAAGGCTACGTAGAAATACTATTACAGAATAATTACCAAAAATTCACACAAAGATGTTCAAGATGTTCTTTTAATGTAAGAGATCCTTGTACATATGTTACTTACCTGCAGAATTCAGATCAAAACCAATTATACTCTAAAAAACAAAGGCAGTAAATAAAATATATGTGCTTCCTGCCAATACGAACATAGGAAAATTAATTTTCAGTAATTTTTTTAAAAATAGTTTTTCTTAGTATTTGCCCCACATGGTTGCAAGTCCACTTGTTTTCCTGAACTCGCCTAGTTTTATTATAGTGAAGCTATCAATGCACAGTGTGACAAGGGAGCTTGTTTATTAGCCACCTTCTCACAAATCCTGATGTTGATTTAGACTGAGAAGAAGTCATTCAGCTGGCTTCTGTGCCCAAAAAAAGACTAGAATATCACTTTTCTAGTCCAAAATTTTAATCCCTATACCATGCTGATTCCCAAAAAAGAACCATTTAATTATGTTTAGAAAACTCCAAAAAGATTTGTACACCATCTTTCAACAGTCGTAGCAATCCCCACCAAAAACATTTCCCCCACTATTTTATATTTTATTTAGAAATTATATATTTTAAATGTATCATTTGGGGTATTTGAGGTAAATATAAAAATAGCATCACAAGAGTTATATATTTTAGATGATGATACATAAAATTCACCTTGCTTTAAATAAATCTTTCTTAATTGTGAAGCCATAGTATAGGGCAGGGGTGTCCAACCTTGGCAACTTTAAGACTTGTGGACTTCAACTCCCAGAATTCCTCAGCCAGCAAAAAGCCAGCAAAAAGTTGAAGTCCACAAGTCTTAAAGTTGCCAAGGTTGGACACCCCTGGTATAGGGCCTTTCTATTTCTCTCACCTGCTGTTTGTCTTGCAACGCATTCTGGGCGGTATCCAAGTGATTCTGAAGGTCTGCTCTCTGAGCAGCTTTTGCTGCCTCCGCTGACAGAAGCAATTCAGTCTTTGCTTTTACCTGACAGAATTAAAATATGTTGTCTTAATATTGACAATATTACACAGTTGTTAACTTGTAAAACCTTAAATTTTCCTGGGGTGAACAATTTACTCAGTGTACCACAGCATTATCAATGGATAGAAAATAGACAGACAGACAGACAGAGACCAACAATGTAAATGATGCTGTTTATTGAGGACACAGACAATTCAACCTATCCTGGCCCACTGTCTGTCTTTTGCTTGTACAGACTATGCTGAGCAGTTTAATGGGATGACTTGCCCATCTGAAATTATTGGACATCTTTTATCTGTCCAGGTCTTTGGCCACTGCTTTTCAGTGCCATTTGCCTTTTGGCAGCAGAAGAGTCAAAAAGTCTCCAATGTGCACAAAAAACATACTTCCCATTTCTCTTCTATGCCTTGTCACTCATAGCAACGAGAGAAGTAGGGAAAGCAGGTCATTGGGGTACCAGTTATCCCAAAAGCAAAAAGACCCACTTGACAGAAAAGAGAAAGGGAAGAGGTGGGTCTTTTCCTGCCAGTTCTGCAATTGCTATGGATCAAAGAACCAGTAGCAGAGGAGCCAACTCTTTTTTGTGTCTCTCCCAATGGACAGCAGAAGAAGGATGGGAAAGGAAGGATGGGAAGCATATGTTTTTGGTATCAGTTATCCCATTAATAAAGTGGTCTGATCCCCCTCTAAAAGTCCACTTTCCTGCAGGAATGTTACATTCACAGGCATTTCCCCTCACCCCCAACACATTGTGGAACACCTGTTCAAAGCTTAAGCTTTCATATGTTTGTCTATTGGCCTTGCAGAAGACCACGGGAATATACCACCATCTGAGTTTTTAAAAACTAATATCTATCTATACCTTTTTAAAACTATAATGCAAAGTAACATCTTCAATATACTATCTTCTCAGTACCCTGAGATGAAAAAAACTGCAGTCATAATGAATGGGATACTGACGACCATGATTTATCATTGCTTATTCCCCATCACAATGGAGCTATTAGATAAAAAATCTATGGAAGCAAAGGCTTCAATAATCTTCTCATAGCTGTGCCATAGAGACAAGGGGACAACATGTAAACCCAAGGTTCACTCAGAGTAGTTTCATCACAATAAAATAGTGACATAATATCCCAATGCAGCCAGTGTATACAATGCTTACAAATGTAAAACTTTCTGGAGCTTAGCTTAATAGGTAGGTGTTACTGGGTTTGTTAAAATTAAATTAGCATTCCTATCCCTTATACTTTACATAAGTAAAAATTTAAAGTTAGATCACCTGCAAATCAAGTTGCATTACTTTTTCTTTACTTTCACTTAGCTGATTACGTAGCTCACTGATAGTTGTTTCCAAGGAAAGAACATGATCTTGAGATGCTCTTAAATGGGATTTCTGTTCCTGCACTTGCTCATGCAAATTTTCTAGGGCCTGTTTATGGCTTTCTGATTGATTCTTCAATTTTTCTGCCAGCTGTGTTACCTAAATGCAAAATAAAGGAAAACAATGATAAAATGTTGAAGTTAAAACTGGTTGTGGACCAGAACTGATATTTTATATCTCAAGATCTGGATATCCTTGGCAATTTCTTCTTCAGCTGGTTTCTGCACATCTGAACGATCTGGAACAAAAGATTCCCTCTGGGTCCATACCAAAGGGATATTATCTGGACAGACCACAGAGTCTGGCTTTCTGTCACTGCCCTCATGTGTAAAACAGCATTCCTGGGATATTTATTTGTTTGTTTGTCTGTTTATTGAATTTATATTACCACCTATTTGCCCATGGCGACTCGAGGCGGCTTATAGAATATAAAACCATATTTAAAATTAAACAAACAATAAAAACTAACAAAAAGAATTCCCCAACTCCCACCCCCCACCCCAACAACAGCAGATCACACAGGCCATTTGATGGGCTCCATCCCGCTCTGGGTTCCTCAGGCCCGCTGGCAGAACCAGGTCTTCAGTACCTTCCAGAAGAGTATTAAAGAGAGGGCCATTTCAATCTCTGGGGGAATGATGTTCCAGAGAGAGGGAGCCACCACAAAGAAGGCAACCTTCTTCTGGGTCCCACCAGGTGTATCTCCCTCAGGGAATGGAACCCGCAGCATTCCCTGCCTCCTCACTCTAATGGGTCAGATAGATGTGACTGGCAAGAGACGTTCCCTCAGATAATTTGGTCCCAAGACATGAAGGATTTACAAATTACAATGACCCCTCCATCACCCCTGCATATGGCGCAGTGGTTAGAGTGCAGTATTGCAAGCTACTTCTGCTGCAGCCAGGTGCCTGCAATTTGGCAGACTGGATCTCACCAGGCTCAAGTCTGACTCAGCCTCCCATCCTTCCAAGGTGGGTAAAATGAAAACCCAGGTTATTGGGGGCAATATGCTGACTCTGTATATTGCTTAAAGAGAGCTGTAAAGCACAATAAAGCGGTAAGTCTAAGTGCTATTGCTATCACTGTGTTTTTGAAAAGCAAGTTACACCTAGCTCTTTTAAAAGATATTTTCAGATCACTTCCTGCTAAAGAACTATAGAAAAAAAGCTAGATTCTAAGTTACTTCAGCTGGACCCAACATCTCTACTCACTATACAGGGCAGTCCTGAATCCTTCCTTCAGAGAGATCAATCAAAATTGACCCTCTCTGTTGGAAGGAAAAAAAAATGGGAAAAGTAAGCTTTGGGTTTTTAGCTTCCTTCCAAAAATTCTCATAGAAGAGTTTTATTCCTAACAAACTCTCCACTTCTAAGCCTTTGTCTTGTTTCCTCCATTCTCCCACATCCAACCTTAATGTAGTTAATTCCTAGTGTAATACAGGTAATCCTCGATTTATAACAGTTCATTTAGTTACTGTTCAAAGTTACAGTGGCATTGAAAAATGTGACTTATGATGATTTTTCACACTTGATCACTGCAGCATCCTCATGGTCAGATGATTTACATTCAGATACTTGACAACTGGTTCATATTTATGATGGTTGCAGTGTCCTGGGGTCATATTACCTTTTGCAACATTCTGACAAGCAAAGTCAATGGGGAAGCCAGAGTCACTCAACAACCATGTTACTAATTTAACAACTGCATTGATTCACTTAATAAATGTGGCAAGAAAAGTTGTAAATGGGTCAAAACTCACTTAACAAATTTCTCACTTAGCAACATAAATTCTGAGCTCAATTGTGGTTTTAAGCTGAGGACTACCAGCAATAGGACCTTAAGGGAACAAGAAGTGAACCATCAAGTAACAAGATATGTCACTTTAAACACTATCATCTCACAAATTTGGAATTTTTTTACTTTGAAAACTTCTTACCTGTTCCTGCAAAGCATGATTCTTTTCCTGTAACTGATTTAGAACTGCTGTTTCTCCTTCACCAGCTTGAATTTTTGCATACAAGTCTTCCCTTTCTTTTTCTAGCAGAGAAATATTCTCCTTACTCTTTTGTAGCAGGGCTTCAAGGTTTTGGATTTTTTGATCTTTATCACCAATCTGACGTAGAACTTGCTCTAAATCATTCTTGGAAAGGGGGAATACAATCGCTAAATATATCTAGGAACATAATTTCTGCATATTATATTTAGAGAGAGCTCTTGGCCCCCTTTTTAAGAAAAACAACGTGAAGCCATTTTTCTTCTTCATGTAATTAAATAGAAAGATTAACCATGAAAGTTAAAAATACAATCAAAATAAAATGTTTGTAATGAGAAACATACCAGAGAAAATGGGTTTGTTTAAAACATAAAGAAAAGCTTTTATTCATTTTTCAGAAAAAAACAGGAAGAAGAAAGAGAAAAAGACATGATATATCTCTAAAGTCTATACAAATGAATTAATGGTATCTGCCACAAATTCTTACTATCAAATATCAATAACAAAATGTTATGCAATATGAAATATATAGAGATGGTCAATTCCTACTTTGAACTGAGCTTCAGAAAGGCAGTTGCTTATAACAATGCTTCAAAACAAAAATATGTCAACTTCTGAGCTACTTGATATGTCATGCCTAATGAGAGTTCCATGAAATAGCACAGCAGTCCATTTATAAATCATCAAAACTTGATTCTATCAAGCTCTTTATCTTGTAGCAGTAACTATAACCTGCATTTCAACAAAAATATTTCTTCTTGTAGCACAGGGGTCCTCAACCCCAGGCCGTAACCCACTATTGGGCCCTGAGCTTTTTGGAACTGGACCGTGGGATTGGCAGGTGCATGCACGCATCCCTACTCATGGAGCAGAAAGCAAGTGCATGTGCACGTTCTCCATTTGAGAAAGCGGCAGGCATGCATGCCCATCGCTCATTCAAATGGAGCCGCATGCATGTGTGCACTTGTCTGCCATGCAGGTGGAACCATCCCCTCTCCTCCCCACTGGTCCGCAAAGCCAAAACAGTTGGGGAACTCTGTTCTAGCACACTAGAAATATGTTGGGCTTTTTTGTCAGCAGCAAAATTCTCTTACCTGGGCTTCTCGAAGTTTTGATGTTGTGCTTTGCTGAAGATTCTGCTGCTCTTGATGCTGCTGCTTCGTTTTGTCTAATTGATGTTGCAATTCAGTTGTATTTGCCGCTTTTTCCTTTAGCTTAGAAAAATAGTCACAGACTGTTGACTGAAAACTGACAAGCACAATTTAGTAGTTTAATAGTTTATAATTTACTCTAATACTGAAGTTTTTTACATCAGATGTCTTTTTTATTAAATTAGAAGTCATGTTATATTTGTCCTAAAAGTAGTTTAAAAAAAAATCAGTCCCTTCAACAACTTTTCCAACAAAATCAAAATATTATAACATTATAACAGTAGGTGATTGTTTCCTATATTACATTCTGCATTTTTCATTAGGAAAGATGCATAGAAAAATAAAGTTCCATTGTTTCTCATTATCAACTCTTCTGAAATTGTAATTTTTAGATACCAATCATTAATTAGGCAGCAAAAAAAATCATCTTTATAATTCTTACAGTTAAAGCCAGGCAAAGGTTGGACCTAACCCTGAAAAAAATCTTGAGGAGCAGACATTAAGGACTCCTAGCCTAATAATGAAAGATTAATACCCTGATCCATTTTATGTTTAATGAAGGATTAAGGAATTTTGGAAGATACATTTAATTAAAGCAAGCAAAGGGAAGAGACAGAATGCAAGATGGAGTTTTGTAGTTACTAATTACAAAACACAAATTGAACTCAACCCAAATTATATTCTGCATATAATTCTTACCTCCTCTTCAGCACGTGAAAGTTTTAACTGAATGTCAGCCACTTGCTGTTCCTTTTCCATCAGCTTTTCACTAGATAGCTGTCTCTGCTCTTTTAGTCGGCCCTGTGCTTCCCCAAGTTGATGTTCTGTTTCCAGAAGTTTATTATGTAACTGGAAATGAAAACAAGTCTCATTTTGATGAACATGCCATACTTTGTTTTTTTTAACTATTTTGTTTGCAAAACACATATAAATACTACGGTATCAATACATTCAGTCCTAATAAGTTGTGGACCCAGACACACAACCTAGTCAAAAAGTCTGGTCCATGGGATGACTCAGTTCATGCTTCTCTTCCAGTTACAAATAAACTGCAGTTCAAATAATGAGAGCAGCTTTATATTTTGTTTTCCCAGATCAATCCACTGCAAGATAAAAGTATCTTCACTAATGGTTGCAAATCTTTATCTACTACAGTATATATAGTCTATTGGTCTAGTCCAGATAGCTGGACAGATGTCACACTACTAGCTTTCATGCCCAAGAGTGAACTTAAACCTGGATGGTGCAGTACCTTAACTACTATACATTGGTTCTATTTGTATAAAATCAATATGTATATTTCATAAAATACATTTATATGACTACATTGGCTTAACTTGACTTCAAATCACAGAATAATCTACAGGAGTTTTTTTTTTTCTTCAGACAAGCAACTTAAACATTAGTATGAACTGCACTGAGAAGAGGGGAACAAGTAAACACAGTCTGCTATTGTATCATGAGATCACCCAAAACATACAAACTATATGTGGAGGTTGATTAATTCAGCTGGTAAAGTACTAAACTGGAGGATTTCCATGTAGAGCTCTCACAAGGATGGAAAATTATCTGAAAGACTAGCAGGAAAAGATTAAGGGTTTTGGAGACAGGGAAAAGCAGCTGGATAGCAAACTACCTGCTGGATTTACACAGTTTTGGCTACTGAAAGAGTTGCAAATTCCAAGATGGAGTGAAGATCAATATAAGTTCTAAAGTGATGGGAAGATCACTGAAGATGGAAAAGGATCAGGCTTCAAGGGATCATGTCTAACATATCAGAGGGAGAAGTGGGAAAGACCTAAGTTGATTCTGCTGCCCACAAGGTATTACCAGCTAATAATGATTAATGTTCTTGCTTAACTCTGAGGGGAATCTATTAATATCTATGTACACTTAAATGTAGCTTAAGTCAGGCAAACAATTAACATAGCAGAAAGCTCCAGAGGCAGAGATAAAGTTAATTGCTAATTGGCAGAATAATTTTAGTCATAAAATAATGTTCTGGTTTACTGCAGGTAAAGTGTCTTTGAAAACAAATGTAGAGGCAGGAGGGAGAAACATTGTTTCTTAATCTGCTTAAGCTAAATGCTACCTTTAGAATTAGTTTTGTATGATACTAAGATTCCAAAGACTATTTTATTTGAGTTATGTCATTAATTTAAAACAATGGTTTACAGAAGGTATTTATATGCTGTAGTTAATTGTTTTCTTTTTTTTAAAGTTTTGCTTCCATCTAAACCATGGCTGTCAAACTCCCAGCCTGTGGGCCAGATGCATCAGATGCTGGCCAAGTCCAACTTAACAAAGGGGGGGAAAGTCCCAATGTGACGCCATTGTGACGACATGATTGACATCCCTAGTCTAAACTATGAAAAAAGGTATAGGAATTCTTGGTCAATAAGTGAAATCAGGCTTATAATTTATTTGCTTAAGAATGGATAAACTTAACTTTACCTGATTGAGCTCATTTTGAAGCAGCAGGCTTCGCTGTTCTTTTTCTTCCCTTTGTTGTTGTAGCTGCTTGCATTCTGCCTTAAGATGCTGGGTTTTGGCTTCAACTTCTGACAATTCCTCCTTAAGTTTTTGGCTTGCTTCTCCCTTTTCACACAATTCTTTCTGCAATCTCTGTAACGAGTCCTCAGATGCAGACAGTCTTGCCTGAAGTTGTTGACAGTCCAATTCCTTTTGATTAAGAGTTGCTTGCAAAATCCTTTTACCCGCTGATTCTTCATTTTTTCTCTCTTCTAACTGAGTATATTCCAATTCTTTCTTTTTTAATTTTTCCACTAGATTCTAAAGTTGAGGTGTAGATATAACTGAGATTGTAATTCATTAATGTTAAATAAAATAGGCAGCTGGATTAAAAATGCAAAATTAGTATTTTAATATAAAACATGCATGACTACATATACCAGAGGGCCCCAAAATGAAGTTTTCCATTATTTTTCTTATAAGTCAATATTCTGAATTTGTATTTTTATTATTTCATTATACTATCAAAAGGACCCTAAACTGAGAATATGCAATTTCATTTTTCCTGTTGCTTGCAAGCTCAGTTGCAGCCATAACCATGTAAGCTTCAGAACCAAAGATAATGTTTTTGCAAGTATATATAAGTATATAAATGCTCTAAGAATAGAAAGTATGATGCCTGCTGCATTAGGATCAACAGAAAAATACTGCATGATCTAATATCATATTTCATATCGATCCAAGGTTTCTAAAGAGCTAGCATTCCTGACTTATTTTTTCAAAATACATGTGTCCATAATCCAAGTACAGATCTTGGCTTAATTTTGTCATGTTAGAAGAGGAACAAGTCTATGATCTCAATAGGTAATATCAGAGGTTTCATTATTTGTTTAACTGATAAGACTGTATCTTTAGAATTGAATAAGATCATCAATCTATAGCTTTCAAATGCAAATAGCAATATTTTTACCCGATTTTTCTGTGCAGATTCATTAATGGAAGTTTGAAGTTTCTGGATCTCCTGTACATATGTAGCCACTTCCTGTGGTCCTTTTGCAAGTTCAGTATTTAACTTATTAATGGTAGCCTATGGCAGGGGGTGGAATGAAAAAAATTAATGTATAATTTTAATTTAACAGGAATATATTCCCATAAAATAATTATAGAAATCCATAACAAAAGTTTATGTATCATCAAAAAAATTGAAGTTCTTTAAATGTATACTATACAAAGTGTATATGGAAATATTGTTTTATATAAATTCTTCAAACATTACTAGTAAAAAAGAGGAAACAATGTCACAATTGTATCACAAAAGCATGATTCCTGCTTGGTTTCTGCTATCAGCAAAAAAAGCTACATAAATAAAGCAATTTTTACATTATAGCTAAAGATCAATTACTTATATTCTTGCCAAATCCATAGTGAAGTGAAGTTTCCCTTTTTTCTATTTCAACTCAGATTGGCAAGAAAAATATAGTGGATGCCCACAATTTTCCTGATCCTAGTAAAGACATAATCCTGAAACATGAATAAAACATTTCATGACTCCTGTCATTCTTTTCTTTATAAAAGCAAGCCTCCTGTTCTCTTAGAGGACTTCCAGGGTCTCTTAATTGTGTTCTGTTATTCTTCCTATAATCATGTGTATCCATCCCATCAAACTCAAATGAGGTCTTGGATGGTGTAGGATCTCCTGCCATGGGTCCAATGTCCCTTTCAATCTTAGTATTCTACATTATATGTTTTAGACAGAGAAAAGTCTAATTTTAAATTTGAAGGCTAAAATTCTAGTTTTGTTCCACAAAAAGGAAGATGATAATAATGAATACATAAATAGAAATGTTTGTATACATAAACAGAGTGTTTATATAAACACACAAAGAGAGATATCTATACATATTTGTACATGCCAACACCTGGTGAAAAACAATTGTATTGCATTTCTTAATGGTAATAGGGGATTTCCTTGTATTTGGTATAAACTATTCTTATTAGTTTTTACATCTTATTACTTTAGATACCCACTGTCATAGAATAAATTCACTAGGACCTAAGCATTAGAATCTGTATCCTCCTACTGTTCCTTTCCATCCATCCAATCCTTATCTTTAAATATTATTTTTTCATGAGTTCTGAAAATAAGCCTTGGAGAAACAAATAAGGGCTTTTAAAGGTGCACGTTGTGCAGAAAGTGATATATGTGGGTGAATGTAGCACATTAAAACTTGGATTTTGTAAGATATGTGAATGAAAATGGAAAAAAGAACTCCTGTATACCCTTTACAAATCTAATGGTAACTAGGCAACAACTTATAGTTGTCCTGAGTGCTTAAATAAAATAGAGTAAATCTAGTACGTTGGAACATAATGAGCATCGCTTCATTTTAAAAGTGAATACTATTCTTGGGATTTGGTTGCAGGACAGATTTCAAGGTGAACAATGTGCAGTAGGAGGAGATAAAGAGGGGGGAAATATTATCCGTATGTAGATTCATTTGAATTATACCAGCTTCCCATGAACTGCTGTACAATAATGAAAAGTACCAGTAAGAAAAAACAAAAAAGGGAGTTTTCTCTAAATCTGACGGAGTTCTCATTATTAGAGGCAAAGTGAATTCCTTCACTCTACAAAAATTCACTCCTGATCACAACACAACTTCAAATATTAAAGACGCAATAAAATATATGAGACTACATCTTTGTGGCTTATTGACTTATATGCAATGAGCTTTCCAAAGATTGGGTCACAAAACTCAATTTCTTCTTTTATTAAGGGAGAATGAGCCTAAAAGGACATGTAACGGCCTGGCTGTTACAACTGCTCTCATGGGCTACCTTTCTTAAACTACTGTCCTTCAGGCATGTTCATCTGCAATTTCTGTAAAGCTAGTTGGGAAATACACTCTCTTGCCATGAGAGAGCACAATTTTGGAGAAAACTGATATGCATTTTTGGATGTCTTCTTTTTCTGATTTTCTGGAACTACATTTATCCAGCATTTTTGGAGAATTTACTTACTAAGAGATTTCTATTCTGTTCAGCCTTAAAGAGTCCTATGTGGTTCATGAAACCACCTAACAAATAATAAAACAATTAAATCCCCAAAGAGTAGATCAGAATGTTTTGTTGCAAATACGTAAGAACAGACAAAATACAGATACTGGTACCAATCACATAAAGTCACTGGAAATCTGGATAGTTTAATTGTGAGAATAGTTTGTAAAATAAACACAAAAAAAGATTGGTGGGTTGTAATATGTGCACAAATACTTCCTATCTGGTTTGTTATTTGTGTGTAATTACTTTTGAAAAGAGGTGTAAAAGTTAGAGTATTACCTCAAATTTAAAGACCTCCATAGAAAGCAGTCAAAAAAATGATGGGTGAATGAAAAAGAAAACAATGATAAATGTTATTTCAACATTAGACAGAATGGTCATGGATCTCTTAAATCAGTAGTGTGATGCTGATAAAACATGCACATTTAATTGGGACAGATGTTAGTGATTTTAAAGCCAATTTAGACAAAAGCACAATTCTCAGCAGATTCTACATATAAGTGGTACAATCAAAAGAAGAAAAATATGCAAGTGTTGCTTTGTATTTCAATCAGAAAACATTTGTCTTTGTGAGTGACTAAACCTGGAATCAGAGGTAGAAAAGGTTTTCCCATCTCTGCCTACCACAGGAATATAAATTATAGCATCTCCTAGTTTTTACTTGAACAAATCCAGCAAAGAGAAAGCCAAACTTTGGTTTCAACTGCCTAATTGTTCTTATTATTAATGTTTTTTCTGACATTTAATCAGAATTATCCTACCTGCTAACTTAAATCCAGTATTTCACATCCTATACTCTGCACTGATGGCAAAATGATCTTGGCACTCTTCTGCGTGAAGAACACTACTACATTTCCTACTCTCATACATCTCTTCTATCTTCATAGGACTTATTTTCTCATCCACTGAATTAGTTGCTTAGCTGCACTAATTGACAGAAACACTTCTTTCAAGTGAATCACTTGGCTTTCTTGATCTTCTCTTTGTATGGGAGGGAGTCAGAACACTTGAGAACAAAGACTGTACAGATCAGCTATCTCAGCCCACAACTGCCTCCCCTCATGTAATGCAAGCTAAGGCTCAGTCTGATTAGATTTTTTCAGCTCCTAAATCTGAGAACACAAGGACTTCTTATTAGAGTTTATATGCAATGTTTCCAGAAAATAGCTGCATTTTTTTAAAAAGAGCATTTGAATGTTTGAGAGAACTAAAAATATCGAATTTTACTTACTATAATAATAAATATATTAAAATTGCAGAGGTATAAAATATTACCTTACAATTATTTTGTTATTACAGTCCTGTCTGATATAACACAAAATGCATTTTAATATGCAAAACTATTTCATGTTAATTTTGACATAATGATCTTGTTGAAGTATTATCATGGATGGCTTCAGAACTTCAAAACAAAACATAAACTGAGTAACATAAGCGAGTTCTAAGACAGATTTTTTATAAGCATGATATGCCCACCTTCTAACTGGTAGAGATTTGATTAACAAATAAAAAACTGAACGAGAACTGAACTGAACTGAAACTGTCTTGAGAACATCCAAGATAATGCAAATTTATAAATATGTAACTAGAGAATTTCCAAAAGGGAAAGAGTGTGGTCTTGCCGCAAAAAGAGTTATATTGTACCACCAATAAATGACTATCAAATTTGTATCATACAGCTTTCTACTAATACAACCAGATTAAATTATAACATTATGGTTCATATTCAAATGTTCTGACTAGATTCATTACCTCTGCATTTGTATATTCTGCTCTCAAATGATTGCATTCATCTTTCAGTTTCTCAGATTCTTTCTCACATTCCAAAGCCATCTTATCCATCAATGTTTGAACTTGGACTAATTCCCTCTTTAGAACTGCAACATCTTCTACCCCAGGTCTTTGAAGCTTTAGAAAACAGCAATATGAAAATCAGTATTACAAAGTTCAGAATGAAATTATATTTTCAACATGGTTTATAAAATTACAGTGCAAAACAAGTGTGTGTGAGTGTGTGTGTGTGTAAATATAGTTTCCATATTACATACTCTTAAAGCTACTTAATTTCATAAAAACTGTAACAGTATACTCATACTCAAATATAATTAAAATATCTCTGGTATAGTTCCAATATTTTTTCTTAGCTTTCTGCAATTTTAATAAATTTTCTTGAACTTATTTTGTTAAAATACTATGCAGCTAAATCCACTTTAACTAGTTAGAGACATTCAACATCAATATTTTCAACTGTTGATTAATTAATACCTAACAATTAATTAATCATAGGGTTAACAGACATTATGTGTTATTGTGAGGGCATAATAACTTTTGAAAACCATAAGAGTATACATAAAGCACTTGTTGAGAAATCCTTGAAGTAGTTGCATCTTTTCCCATAATTCCATAGCTGCTACACAAACTAGTGAAAAGAAACATTGGACTTAAAAGCGTTCCCAAAAGCTATTCTATGTGCCCATGAGCACTCCAAAGCACATTATGGAATCAAAGGGTTCCTTGTCCAGCTTTGACTGGTGCACTAATGATAGTCTTACATAGAAGAAAAGGTCATAAGTAATCCAGGTGACCACCTGGATTATTGCAACACAAACTAGAGAACTGTAAAGGAACTTTTCATGGACTTTCCTTTAATGACTATTCAAAAATTCCAGTTTTTGCAAAAAAAAACAAAACCACAATAGTAGTCCACTTTACAACTGTGCTGTAAACCTAGATTGGTTACTAACAGGTTTCCCGGTTCAATTTAAAATGCTGATTTTATCTAGAAAGTCTTATGTGGGTTAAGATCTCTTGCAATTAGAATTAACCTGTCCAAAACTTACAACCAGGGAAAAGTTATAGTTAATCACTCTTGTGAAGTTAGGAGCATTGAAGACGGTAGGTTTTTGTTCCCTTACTCTACAGCAGAGCTGTCAAAATCCTGGCCCACAGGCTGGGGAGATGGGAGGAGCCTGCGCCGTGGCGATATGGTATGCAATCGAGCTCCTCGATTGCAGCCGATATCTCCGCTACCGGCCGGTCCAACGGACCTACGCTGTCCCGTAGGGGCAGCCACCGTGAAGAGCGTACCCTGAGGACTCCGGGGATACCGCAAAATCCCTGGAGAGCCCGGGTGAAGCTCTTCTTGCCAGCGGCGGAGAGGCAGCCCCCATGCTGCTGAAGCCGGGGCGGCTCCAGAAGGAAAGAGTTTGAGAAAGAGTTTGTCGGTTGGGTGAGAACCTTTTTTTTTTATTTAATTTTTTGAGTTTTGAAAGTTTACTCTGACTATTTGAAGAAACCTGTGTGATTTTTTTTTTTTTTTTGACAAAACTGACTAAGCGGCGTTTTTTGTAGGGAAACGTCAAAGAGAGAATCCATTTTTTTTTCTTTTCTTTGCTTCCGGACTTTATTGTTATTTATTGGATAACTGGACTGTTTTTTTTTTCTCATACTTATATGTTTTATTCTTTTTCTGGATTTTTCATTTTTAGGCTAGAGGCTCCTTTTGATTTTGTTTTTGCTTTTGTGTATTCCACGTCGGCTTTCCCTTGTTTATTATGCTCTTCAGAGAGGAGGGGGGAAAGTGAGAACTAAGATACTTCGTAACACTGCCATCTAGAGGCTTGGAAATATTTTACTTGAATTGGAAAAAAACAGACTCTTCTTCTCAAGGACATCCTTTGATAAGATAGAGGAAAGCACTCTGTGGAATATTATTACAGGTGTCTTTCTGGATATTTATGGCTTAGCTTTGAAGCTTGTGGGAAAGAGAAGGGAGTTATAATTAGAGCCTTGGATAATTAAATAGAGTGCAGTGTATTGTTGCATATTCTTTTTTTCTAATTCTTTTTTTGAGTTCCGCCACCCCCTCCACTAATATCAAGGTCTTTACTTTTAAGCCTGATTTATTTGCAAAGGGAAGCCTCTGAATTTTTTTTATTTTTTTTTATTTTATCTTGATTTAACTTGCTTTATTTTTTCTCCTGTCCATTTGGATCCTGTTTTTTCTTTTTTCCTTTTTTTTTAATGTACATCAGTGGACTATTTTTTTTCCTTTTTTCAATTGAGGTTCCTTTTTTTTCTGGCTGGACTAAGGTGTGGAATTTGAAGAAACTTATTTTTCTTGGTTTTTGCTTTATTTTTTTTCTTCTTTTCTTTTTTCCTTCTCCTTTTTTTGGCTTTGTCTTGTTTATTATTATTATTGGGTTTTTATTCTTACTTTTACTCTTTTTTATGGATTATTTTTTTTTAACTGGATTAAGGTCAGGAAGAATTTGAAGAATTTCTTTTTTCTCTCTCTCTCTCACTATTGGCTTTTTTATTCTTGGCCTTTTTATTTTGGATTATAACTTCATATTTTTTTTTGTGGATTAAAATTTGAAAGAACTTGAAGAGCTGGAACCACTTAAAATGAGTAAGAAACTTATATCTTCGGGTGCCTCTATGTCTGCTTCTGCCTCCCCACCATCTGGACAGCGCTCAATTCAGACATTGTTAAAGCAAGATAAAGAAAAAGAACAAGAAAGAGTATCCTTTCAGATGATTATGCAAGGAATTCAAGATCTTAAGGTAAAAATGGATACTATTGAACAAAGAACAGGTAGGATGGAGGAAAAAGTGGAAAGTATCCAACAGATGATGGTAAAATATGAGGAGAGACTTCAAAATGTTGAAGAGGGGGGCAAAAGAAGAGAGGAGAAGATTGGAAATATTGACAATAGATTAACAGTGATTGAACAAGAAAAAAGTGAGATGTTGAAGTGGGAGTTGGATAGATCAGAATTTTATCTCAGATTTCAAAACATAGAAAAAGAAAAAGGACAAGATTTGGCTGTGATAATGGTAGGAATCTTGGCGGAGGCGCTCGAGATAACAGAAGAGAAGATGATGGATGGAATAGATGAGATATATCGAGTCTTTACAAGATATGCGATGAGAAATAACCTACCAAGAGAAGTTCACATTAGATTTGTTAAAAAATCTATGAAGACACAAGTATTGCAAGTAGCAAGAGAGAGGCCACTGAAATACAAAGGTAAAGAAATTTTGGTTTTAAAACAAATACCTAGAAGAGTGAGAGAGATGAGAAGAGAATATCGATTCCTGACTAAAAGGTTATTGGAAAAAGAGGTGTCTTACAGATGGTTGATCCCAGAAGGATTGATGTTTACGTGGCAGGAACAGAGACATAGAATTGATTCAATCGAGAAAGCAGAACTGTTTTGTGCAGAGGTTCTTGGAGGGAGAGAAGGAGGGGCAGGAAAGGAGGTCCCATCAATTGAATCCCAAGAGGAACAAATGGAGATCGGAAAAGAAGAAGGTGCAGTAGGTGGACAAGTGGATATTAAAGATCAACGTGAGGCAAGACCCACGAGAGTGGTTAAATCTAAATATAAAACATAATTATGGAAGAGAAAAAATTGATTACAATGAATATAAATGGACTGAATTCAGCTGTTAAGAGAAGGAAGATTTTCCATAAATTAATGAAATTAAAGTTTGACATAATTTGTTTACAAGAAGTTCATATTAAAAAGCAACATGAACAATTGTTATTACAACCAAAATTAGGGAAATTGTTTACCTCTTTGACACAATCCAAGAAAAGAGGGGTGGTTCTATATATTAAAGAGGCCATACCAGCAAAAATGATTTATATAGATGATGATGGGAGAATATTAATGGTAGAAATAATGGACAATAATAGAAAGATACTTTTGATTGCAATTTATGCCCCGAATGATAAACAGGAAGAATTCTATAGAAAATTACATACTAAGATTGCTGAACTTGACTATGCTAATACAATTATGATGGGAGACTTTAACAGAATTGCGGATAATAAACTTGATTATATCGCAACAGCAGTAAAGCATAACAGAAAAACTCTTCCTAAATCCTTTTTTAAAATGATAGATGAATTAACTTTAAAAGACATATGGAGAGAAAGAAATAATAAATCTAAGCAATTTACGTTTTATTCAAATAGGCATTTATCATGGTCCAGACTGGATATGATTTGGATTTCAACAGATTTAATGTCTAGTATTCAAGAAGTTAATATTGAAACAAGCACTTGGGCTGACCATAACCCATTGACAATTAAATGGAAGGGACAAAGGAAAAGATCGAGATGGACATTAAATAATACTATCTTAAAGGATAAGGAATTCACACAATGGATGGAGAAAGAATTGGCCTTTTTCTTTAAAGAGAATAGAAAAGAAGACACCTCAACACAGAATGTTTGGGATACAATGAAGGCCTATGTCAGAGGCTTGATAATAGACTATACAAGAAAAAAGAATATTAGGAAAAGGCAAACTTTTAAAGCCTTGGATGACGAATATAAGAGACTTGAAAAAGAACTACAGAAAACGCCACACAGAAAAGATGTCAAACTGAAACTGGATATAACTAAACATAAAATGGACTTAATAGAGAGAGAAGAATTGGCACAGAAAATTAGGAATGCTAAACAGAATTATTTTGAGGATGCAAATAAGCCAGGTAGATGGCTAGCATATAAATTGAGAAAGGAGAAAGAGTCGAGGAAAATACTGCAGTTAATAGATGACCAAGGTAAAACTTGTTATGGCAGCAAAGAAAAAAAAGAAATTATTTATGATTTTTATAAACATTTGTATAAGAAAGAAGATATTGATGAGGAGAAAGTTAAACAATACTTGCAGAATGTAAATTTACCTAAGATACCTAAAGAGATTGAAGAAATGCTAGAAAGCAATATAACAATGATGGAGTTAAGCCAAGCACTTAAGAAACAAAATAATGGAAAGGCACCAGGTCCAGATGGACTTCCTGTAGAATTTTATAAAACTTTTCAAGAATTACTTTGTATTCCACTGCTAGAAGTTATGAATGAAGTCATGGTAAAAAAGATAATTCCTAAAACATGGTCAGAGGCTTATATTACACTTATTCCAAAAGAGGAGGCGGACCTACTTCAAATCAAGAATTATAGACCGATTTCCTTATTAAATGCAGACTATAAAATTTTTGCTTCAATATTAGCAGAAAGACTTAAAAAGTATTTGAATAACTTTATCCACCCAGATCAAAATGGGTTTCTGCCAAAACGACAAATTAGAGATAATATGAGAGTAATTTTAGACACTTTGGAATACTATGAGGCGCACCCTGAAAAGCAAATGGCTTTGATATTTTTAGATGCTCAAAAGGCATTTGATAATGTAAATTGGAGGTTTATGGTACTCCTAATGGAACAGATGGGCTTTGCTAGAAGATTTATTCAAGCAATAGAAGCAATTTATAATGAACAAACAGCTAAGGTAATGATGGAAGGAGAATATACAGATTCTATTAATATAAGAAAAGGTACAAGACAAGGTTGTCCTCTTTCGCCTTTGTTATTTGTATTAACTTTGGAAGTGTTGAATAGAAATATCAGAGAAGATAAAACTATAAAAGGAATGAAAATCAAAAAGGAGGAATTCAAACTACAAGCTTTTGCAGATGACCTAGTCTTTATTTTGGAAGATCCTATAGAAACAGCCTCGAAGCTGTTGGAAAAGATAGAGGCCTATGGGGAGGTGGCTGGTCTGAAAATAAATAAAGATAAAACAAAGATTTTGTCAAAGAACATGTTGCTGAAACAAAGAGAAGAGCTGGCAGAACTGTTAAAAATCCAAGTTACAAACAAGGTTAAGTATCTGGGGATATATTTGACATCAAGATGTAGTACATTGAAGGAGAATAATTATATCAAACTTAAACAACAGATAGCTCAAGATTTGAAAAAATGGGAAAATCTACAATTGTCATTAATAGGAAGGATTTCAACAATCAAGATGAACATTTTACCCAGAGTCTTATTTTTGTTTCAAACAATACCAATTAGGCTTGGAAAAGAATATTTTGAGGATTTAAATAAAATTGTTTTGAAGTATATATGGCAAGGAAAGAAAGCAAGAATAAAGTTAAAGCTTTTACAGGATGCTAGATTTAGAGGAGGGTTTGGTCTGCCTAATTGGGAGCTGTACTACCAAGCTGCAAACTTGACGTGGGTTAAAGAATGGATAACATTAAGGAAAACCAGATTGTTGACATTAGAAGGTCATGATTTGTTGTTGGGCTGGCATGCTTTTTTATGGTACAAGGGAACCAAAACACAGGGGTATTTTAGAAGACATTATATACGGGAGTCTCTGTGGTTAAATTGGGAGAAGACAAAAAAACAGTGTTATTTGAAAATTCCAGTTTGGTTATCGACGATAGAAGCGTTCTCCTATCCTATAATCTATAAAAAGGAACAAACAGTTAACTATGGGGAATTATTAGATGAAAAGGGTGAACTTAAATCGATGCAAAAACTGGAAGAACAAGGTATACAGATGAATTGGTTTTCATATTTGCAAATACATTCAAAGTATTATGAGGATTCCAGAGCAGAGGGATTTTATGATAAACAAACTGACTTGGATAAGATTTTGATGGGTACTGATGAAAAGGTGATTAAAAAACTGTATGGTTATTTATTGCAAATTAAGCTTGAGGAAGAACAAGTTAAAGAAACTATGATTGCGTGGGGGAGGAACTTTGGATATGGGATTGATTTAGAGAAATGGCAGAAATTATGGTCGCAAAATTATAAAATGACAATGTCTACAGCCTATAAAGAAAATTTGTATAAGATGTTTTACAGGTGGCATTTCCCCCCGACAAGGATAGCAAGAATGTTCAAGAACAAATCTGAAAAATGCTGGAAGTGTCATCAAAAACCTGGTTCATACTACCATATGTGGTGGACTTGTGAGGATGCTAGAAAATATTGGACTAAAATCCACATGTGGCTGGAAAAAATGACGAAGAAGCATATAGACTTCAAACCGGAGTTTTTTCTATTGGGAATCCTACCAGATACTTATAGTAAAGAGCTGAAATATTTGATTGTAAATGTATTGACTGCTGCTAGGATTGTATTTGCAAAAAATTGGAAAAATGAGAAAATTCCATTGCAAGAAGAAGTTGTAAAGAAAATTTTGGAATGTGCTGAGATGAGTAGATTGACTTTTGAAATTAGAGAGCAAGAAGATAAACAATTTTATTTAGTTTGGGATCTTTTCTATCAATGGTTGAATGATGAAATATTAAAATATAAAAGTTAGATAATAAGGAATAATATTGAATTTATTTTCCCTTTCTTTTTATTGGTGTTTGATACTATATTTATATAATAGTTTTTCTGTTTCTTTCTTTTTCTTATTTGGGATAGAATTGGTATGATTATAAGATTTGTTTTAGAATAAAATATTTAAAATATAGTTATCTCACAAAGGCATGATCGAATAAAAGTTTAGTCAATTTTTTTTCCTTTTTTTAATAGTGATACTATGATTTATAAATTTGTATTGATAAGAGTATTATATAAGGTAATTGTAATTGTGACTATGAGGTGAATGCACAAAACTGATGGACCAACCGACTTACTGTGTGTACAAAAATATGGGGGAGCTGATACTTTTATGTTTTGTCGTTGTGTTTTGTATGTTAAAAAACAATAAAAAATTTAAAAAAAAAATCCTGGCCCACAGGCTGGATGCGTCACGCGCTGGCCACAGCCACACCCAGTTTAGCGAAGGGGAAAAAAGTCCTGATATGTCACATGATGATGCTATGAGTTATGGAACATACACTTCTGTATGTCTGACTTGCCCCAATGGAAACAACTGAAGGTAGATCTCTTCTGGAGGGCTTTTTAAACTTTATTTGTCAACTTAGTTAAGATGATGCTAGCTTGTGAATTTATTTCCCTTCATTTTTATCTTATACGTTGGTATGATTTTGATTGGTTTTTTTATGTACAGTCTACATTTGACTGATTTTGTACCATTAAGTTGATGTTGACTCTTAGCAATTACATATCTTATATACTGTGGACATTTTATCTTTTATTCTGGATATTTAATATATATCTGTAATCCTGCCAAGAATCTTTGATTTAAATCACTACACAGTCCTTGTATTTAATTTCTGTATTTTAAAATATTTTCATCAGTAGGAATGCACTTTGACATTATAAAATGTGCACAAATATATAAATAGCATAATTTATAAAAATACACATATTGCAAATTAACTCTAACAAAAGAACCACAATAATTAAGAATGAGAATGGCTAAATAATTGTCTAGTGACAGCAAGTTACTATTGCCACGATAGCTAGGAAAAATATGACAATGAATGAAAAACAAAGAATATTTGAAATTAAATATTTTTAGCTTGGGGAAAAAAACATATCCATTATTGAGCACAGAAGATGATTCTTTACTTTGCACCCGAAATAGATCACTATAAAAATAAATAACTTGTTTTTTTAAAGATCTGTAATTAAAATGATCAAGCTGTAGGAATAATCCCTTTCCAATTAGACAAGGCATGATAAAACATGACCACAAGAATTACCAGCTCTGTGTTTAAATCTTCACATACACCTTTTTGCTTCTGTAACTCTTGTGTCAAATTAGTCACTTTCTGTTCTGCAAGTTCTCGAAGGCTTGTTTCTTCATCATATTTGGCTTTAAGTTCTGTTGTAGAGAAAGACTTTTTAAAAGGCGTTCCTTCAATTTAAACAAGACGACATTATATTATGCAACAAGTATGGACAACTTACCCACAATCTCAGTGGCCAGTTGTGCTGCTTTCTGTTCAAATAAGTCTTTCATTTGTTTGATATTAAATTTTTCTACTTGACTGTCTTCTAACTGCTGTTCTAAAGATTCCAATTCTAAAATAAAAGGTACGATGACAAAGTGAAACTAAAATAATATTTTATAAAAACATAGACAAAAGTATTTTATAAAAACAAGCATAGATAAAAGTTTCTCTTTTTTATCTAAAATGAATATGTAAAAGTTTTCCTGAAATCTGTCCTGCCTCCTTTATTGGTCACTACTTAGAGCCCATCCTAATTTTGATTGTATATGGTAAGGAAAAGGAAACAAATTAGCACAACAATCAAATGATAATAATCAAAGCCAAAATTGGTGTCCTTGATCGATTGAGTGAGGTGAAAACTTTGCTGAAATAAAACAGATTTAACTAATTTCCAGAATGACAGCAAAATGAAGATTGCACATATGGTACTTCAGAAGGGGGATTATTCTACAAAATGGGGAATATATAGAAGACCTATCATCTCATCCACACCTCATGTCTCTCATGAGGTGGGGGATTCTCAAGAAGGCTTCGCTCGACAGGCTATCTGGCAAAATATTAGCTAATATATCTTTCTGTAGGGCTTTAAAGGGAACCAGCGCTGGGGGACCTTGGGTCAATCATTCTTTCTCAGCCATGATCAGTATCAGGCTCTGCAGCAAGCCAACTGAGAAATATATATTATGATGCACCAACTGCTTTACGAATTACTTGATCTGATAAAAATAGTGATTGTGATTCTAGAACTCAGTAAACGGGTCACTGAAATCCTTATTTTTAACAACATCAATTAAAAAACAAATAACTTCTACAACAGATAAGCAGTAAGATCAAATTTGTTCAATAAAAAGATTCTTTCTTCTATAAAACAGAATTACTAAATGAAAAAAGAATCTTCAACATTTTAAATTATTTAAAGACTGCATTTTAAATTGAAGTATTTACAATCGGTCAATTAATTACTTTATGGATAAACAGAGATTTAATGAGAGATATGGATCAGTAAATCACTTTTCTGGACAAATATGTCTCATGACACTATTTTTTTTAAAGTTTGTCACCTGTAGAGGCAGCAGTTGCCAGACCATCAGGTTTGGATTCCTAAGGAAGAAAGGAAGGAAGGAGGGAGGGGGTGGGGGGAAAGAAAAAGAAAAAGAAAGAAAGAAAGAAACAAAGAAAGAGAGAGAGAGAGAGAGAGAGAGAGAGAGAGAGAGAGAGAGAGAGAGAAAGAAAGAAAGAAAGAAAGAAAGAAAGAAAGAAAGAAAGAAAGA